TGCGATCAGAACATTTTCTGAATAAAAATGTACGTGATTTTCTTCACTCCATTTCACAAATTTTGTGTAAGCATATTCGTAAACTTTCTTCGATTTCGTAGGTATTATGGTTTCTATCGAAGATTTCGCTATTTCTAGCAATTCGGGAGGTGTTGATTGCATTTCTTCTGACATTTTCTTTTTATTTGAAAAACACAGGTATAACGAACGGGTTAACACTATTTTTTTTATATTCTAAACCATACACTGACAAACGTCAAATTAAATAAGTATTCAAATGACAGTTCTAGCCTACTTGATTGCAACGTTCATAATAAGCCATTTAACATTAGGTTTGTGCTTTTTTATACTAGTACAAAAATGAAAAATACTTGTACTAGTATAAAAATAGGCTACTTCTACAACATGTATACCTTGATATAATGTAAACATTATTATACGCTTGAAGAAAAAAACATTTATCCACGATTAGTAGGTAAAAATCATTAAAAATATGAATCAATTTTTGCTGATTTAATAGTATATTATTTAACGAGCGGCAATGGAGGTCATAACTCACGCAGATGAAGTTTACAGCACGAGCCGCAGGCGAGTGCTGTAATTCATCAAGTGTGTTATGACCATTACCGCAAGTTGGATACTATACTTTATCTACGACTATAAGAATAAATACTAAGATACAAGTATCGAGAAAGAATTATATAATTGACTAGATGATAAAAACGTTTGAATCTTTGTAAAAGCTATTACCTTTGTCGCCAGATATTTCTCATCAGGAGCTTTATTTATGAAATTATTAAGTTGTTCTAGCGTAAGTGTTTTTGCCTTTTTAGCTGTGTGTTTTTCTGATTGACGTTTAAGAAACGCACGTAATTTTGAATAATTCTCTATATTAATTCCATTATTTATGTTGAGTGCTTCTTAGCAAGGAGTAGAAAGTCCATAGAGACGATGCTTTATATTTATTGCTAAGTTCATTAAAATTTGCCAAAGGTACATTACACCAATCTTGAAAATTTTATTTTTCTGGTAATAAATTCGTTTTTTTACTACTAACATGAGAAATCACCATTATTTACTCCATTCCTCTAATGAGAAGTAATATTTCTCACCCTAGGTAAATAATGATAATAAAAAAAAACCTAGGTAAATAATGAATCTAAATTTCATTAGTTTCATTTTGTTAATTTGACAACTAAACTCCCAGACTACTTGATATTTTGAAATATTTGAAAAATAAGTAGGAAATAACTAAAGCTGGGTTTATCAAATCTAATCAAATCAAATATGATAATATGTATCAGTGTAAACAGTAAAAATATATATTAACTAGGAAATTCAACACCGGCTTTAAAAATTATTAATTAATACCAATAAATCCATGTCATTAAACTATCAAAAATGCAATGGGATATTTCCTAGAATCATACCAAAATTTGACACATGCCAAATTTTTACATAAATAAAGCCAGTCTGATTAGAAACACGCTCCAGTCTGCTTGATATTTCGAAATATTTAACAAATTGTTAGGAAATTACTTATGTCAAAATTAAAATTGCTAATATATTAATGTTAGTAGTAAAAAAATTCTATATATACCTCGGCTGAGAAAGCTATTATTTACCTCGCACATTATATCCCTCGGCGCTACGCGCTTCAGGATATAAAAGTGCTCGGTAAATAATAGCTCACTTCTCACCCTAGGTATATAATGTACTATATTACATTATTAGCTATATCTCTTATTTCTGGAGGTGTACATAATAACTCATCTTCACTATCTAAATTCATCTGTTTTTAGCACTATTATTAAAAATTGATTTGAAAACGTCAAAATTATCTTGTTAAAATATCAAATGACAGTACTCCCCTCAGTGTAATAATTGACTGTTCCGCCTACTGAAAGGCGTTGACAATTTAATAATTTTAAAATATCTTAATTATTATTCATTCCTTTCCAGTTTGTAAAAAATCTTTCTAACATTTTACGCCAATGGAACATTTATCGACTTTAAAATTTCCAAGAATTTACTGCGCACACTATTTATAAACCGAATTATATTAGTTTATCGGCCAATTTCATAATCGATAGCTAAAGTGGCCTTTAATGAAAGGAGACTTTAAGCTATTTAAACTATATGGTTAAAAGATACTTTAAAATTAAAGTGTCCTTTAAATTGATTATGAAATTGGCCGTATTATATTTACAGTTTAAACACATTCCAGAATACAAAATTATAAGCTTTAATGCTTTCAAGAATTGTTGGTAAGTTTTGACATTTTTTCCCCTGTGTTCGTCGTAAATGTCATAACAGATACCTATCTATTAAAATTTTCATTAACCCTCTTTAATTTTTTCTATTGGTAAATTTATATATTATTAAATTAAGATTTTCACGAACTATTTTCTTATAAGTTTTACCTAAGTAGTGGAAAACAAAAGATAAGTGCGTTCTTAAAAATAAATTAGGTTCCAAGCGAATTGAAAGAGGGTAAAATAACAAAAACCCACGCTATTCTGTATGTCTGACTGTACATATACCTACGCTTTTGTTCAAATTCTTTCCAAATAAACTTATCGAGTTTTATAAATTTGACAAGGATGTGTATATAGTACCTATAGACGTCGGAGAGTATTTGGGAATGGGTTTTTTATTTTGTGTTTTGAATTATCTAAAAATTAGACTAAAACATTTTAGGAAAGTATAACTTAGATGAATGAGATAACGTAGTTCCGGTTTTATATATTAAATATTAGCTCTACACCGTAATTATTAGTATATAATTTTGTAATAGATAACGGATATAAAAATAAGATATTGTCACCTATCTCCTAACCCGAATAATAATCGGCATTACAATTTTTTTTATCTCAACCGCAAAATTAGGTAACCGGACACGATGTTTTTCAGAAAAATATCGATAACAAAAAATAAATCAAAATAATTTTAATTAATGTTTAGTTACTTATAATAGCTATTTATGAAACCAGTTACGAAATGCCTTGTATTATGTAACAAGTGAATATTTGCGGGACGAGCAGAGCGAGGTCCCGCAACATGAATGAGGTATTACATACAATATTTTTTCTAATTTTGACTACCTAGATTACACAATTTTGTTTGTGTCAGAAATCCAAGAACTTAATTTTAGATATATTTAATGTGCCGGTTCTAAAACTGCCAGTACATTGTTCTATCAGCTCTAGATTTTGAGATACAGGCTAACTGAATGTAGTTCTAATAAAAGGCAAAAATAATCTCCTTAAAGTTCAAAATAGAAATTTCTTACTCAAAATTAGAATCTATTTAGCCAAATATATAGGGTCCGATTACAATTAGAAGAACACAGCTACGTCATCATTTGGCAAAGTAATTAATTGATTATCGCCGCCTACTGGGGGTTTAGTGGAGTGTAAGAGGGAAAGCCCACTCAAGCGACACGTCGCGCGCGATCTGCCGCATGCGATTTTTTAGGTGCGCTTTTTTTAACAGACGACAAGCAGCGACACAGACGTTCAATATCAAAATAGAGGTGGAAGAAGTAGCAACGGTGTTGTTTTATTCTGTTCGTCGGCGAAAAAAATTGAAACGACGTAAGTACTGGGTTCATCCATTATTTATAGACCCTTATGTAAAAGGCGCATTTAATTTATTATATAAGGATTTACGTCAACACGAAGATAAGTTCTTCAAATATTGCAGAATTATAACTGCCGTTGTTTTATTTTGTTCGTCGGCGGAAAAAATTGAAACGACGTAGGTACTGGGTTCATCCATTATTTATAGACCCTTATGTAAAAGGCGCATTTAATTTATTACATAAGGAGTTACGTCAACATGAAGATAAGTTCTTCAAATATTTCAGAATGAGATTAGTGTCATTTGACGAACTGCTAGCGCAGATTCCCGAACAAATATTTTTGTCGCTATTTTATTTCAATTAACTGTTCAATAATTGAGGTCGGTCTTGAATATCGGATATACATTCATCTATATCAATACAACTGTCGGACATTTTTTTCACTGGAACTGTCGAAAAGTTTACAGGAAACTCCAACTCTCAACTGGCGTTTCGTACGCGACTTGACGTTTGTATGAGTGATGCTCCATATGTATCCATGATAACGCTGGCCGCGTGCGGCAGCAGAAACGCGGGTTTGTCATTTCTAATTTTCAGCCGCGTGCGACCACGCGACAGAACCGCGTTAATGGGCTTTGAGTCATTTAAAAACATCTAAAGTATTGCCGCGCGCGATGCCTCGCGATAATTCGCGCGCGACCTGTCGCATGAGTCGCAATGTTAATTAGAACCCAACAGTGAATGGTCAAGTGGAAATATTCGCTAGGCATCAGAATTAATTTTTAAATAAATTAATTAATTTAAAAAATCGCGTCCCGGTTGGAATTTGAATCCGGGACCCCTAAGTCCACAGGCCAACGCACTAACCACTGAGCTACCCACCCCCTACTTTTTTTTAAGTATTTTTAACAAATATGCATTTGCATATTTAGGCATAATTGGACAAAATAACTGCATATTTTTGGTAAAAACGAAGCATATATATGCGCATATTTTGTTATATTTTGATGCATATATTCCGCCATCTACTAATAATAAACAAAAGCCGGCGCTGCAACCAGCCCAACCCTGATAAATGTACATGCTGCACAAGGTATTTTTAACGCCTTTTAACAACAAGTCTGCGCGAAAGCAGCTGAACACTTGGGCGATTTAACTGTAAATATAAGCTCCAACTCTCTCCCACTCACGGATTCATCTAACATCCGTATAAGCCCGCTTAAAATAAACTCTGCTGATAGTTTAGACGCGTTTGTAGACATTAGGATAAATACAAAATGCGATTTTCTCCATTTTATTGACAATGCTAGAACCTTACTTAAATAGCTTACCTCTTAAAAAAAATGTTTAAATGATTTCAACAAAGAAGTCAATAATGTAAAAATATTTATTAAATAAAATTATAACAATAAAATCAGTTCTTTACAAATGAACAATTTTAGGTTCTCAATAATAAAGCAATTATAAAATCATCTTATAGCTAGATGAGGAAATATAAAAAACATTAAAAAATTTGACCAGAGCAAAACAAGAATTTGTGCACTTCAATAATAAGCTGCAATAATTACTTGTTGAAAAGTTTAACAGGGCAGTCCGAAGTTACATTTTCATATTTTAAGTACCCATAATTATAAATTCAATATTATAAAATAAGATTAATAGTAAAAATTACCTAAAATCACAAATTAATGTAAGTCTTATCTAGGTCCCTTGTATTTTAAAATCCAAGGATGTCGGAGTACCTGACTTAACTCCAGTCTTAAATCCGGTTTAACCACTAGTAATCTCTTAATTAAGTGCCCTGCCTCTTCAGATAAATAAGAAGGTAACAAAAATTGGGATTTACTTATTCTTTTATAAGTTTCATCATAACTTGCGGATTCAAATGGAGGCTTTCCAGTTAAAAATTCATAACAGAGAACTCCGAGACTCCACAAGTCTACTTTTTCATTGTGTGCCTTGCCTGTTACCATTTCAGGAGATAAATAATCTAAGGTGCCGCATAATGTCGTTCTTCTAGATGATGGGGCATGTACTGACCATCCAAAATCTGCTATTTTAATTTCTTCATTTGCACCAAGAAGTAAATTTTCAGGTTTAATATCTCGATGTATTACTTTCTTAGTGTGGCAGTACCTTAAGGCATCAGCTATCTGTTCTATATAATTTGCAGCTATGTCCTCCGAAAATCTTTTGTTTGGACTTGAAAGTAATTTTGAATATAGAGCTCCTAAAACGAAAGCAAAATAGATGGATATATTTCGGGTGTCTTTAAAGTGAGAAACTTTTTTGGGAAGTGTTGAATACATACTTATGTAACAAACTTGCTAAAACAGTTTTTGAATTTAAGAAAATAAAACATATTGTTAATAAAGAAGCGGCCATTACAGATTATCATAGGCTTTTTCATTCATGTTTAGAATATGAATACTAAATCGGAGAAAATGCTGTCAAGGTTTATTTGCAAGGGGTATTCATTTTACAAAAATCTCTACAAGAGCTATTTAATGAACACTGTGAACCTATACCTTTAAACATTTAAAAATTATGACTATTTTCTCCTTAATAATACCTATTTATATGAGAAACAAAGAATATACATTTGTTTCAAAAATATATGAGACAATTATAATTACAATACCAAAGGGAATAGTAGTTTGTGCAACAAGAGTGGATATGATGGCCGTATCGCACGAAGACGAAATTTGAGCACGACGCCGTAGGCAGAGTGCTCAATCGTCTGAGTGCGATGTGGACAATCCACTCGAGTTGTGCAGAATATTTTTTCTACAACCCACTAACAAAAATTTACAAATAAAAAAAAATATTTTAGGTTATTAGGACAAAATAACTAATTTTAAAATAATTTATGATTTTTAATAATTTTTAAAATAAAATAAAGGAAAAAATAAAAAAGTTCATTTCATTTTTCCCATCCGAGAATCTAACTCCAGACTTCCGTGTGGAAGGCAAGAACGCTGACCACAGGACCACCTATTCTTTTATTTTTCTTGCTTTAACACTCGTAATTAAATTGACTTCATATAGTTTTATTTAAATTAACAAAGTATTTATATACACGAGATAAAAACAGAAATGCTATTATAAGAATTATAAGAATAACCCATTTTAATGTATGTTTAATCTCAATAACTAAAAAATATACTGACAATTAGTTTGACAGAATTGTCATTTATTTAAAATTTTAAAAATAATAGCAGTCGGTTGATCAAAATATGAACTAATTTCACTTTTTTGCAGTGTTCTCACTACCCAGAATGAATATGAAATATATTCGTTCAGTTGAAGGCAATAGAAACAGTTTAAATAAAAACAAACTACAACGGTATAAAAATTAGGGATCGACAGATACCGATATCGGTAGGTAGCGGCCGATATGTAGAGAGCGATATCGGCCTATATTTGTATCGGCCTAATAAAAATATTAAATTTTTCAATTGTTAAGACGGAATTTGCACGCCAGGAAATTCATAACAAAAACTACAAATTAACTAAGTTGTCAATAGATGGCGATTAGATGCACTTCTGCGAAATAATTCAAATGTTGAATTATACCTGCCTCTTTGCCAAGTTGTGTAAACTACTTTCCGGCGACCCGACAAGCGTCCCCTCCCTCCCAAATCTAAAGTGCTCGTAACATTTTATTGTACCGCCGGACGAGACAAACACTATAACATTAGAATATCGAACCTATAGGGACCGTATTTAAATAATTTTGTCCACGACCACTTAATAATAAATCAATATTCTACCTCCTAACTAAAAGCATATAGTACCCATATATCACGGAGTGAATTATGATAATTCACGCTTTTGTAATTCTGGCACATTCCGGTAGATAACTAAAGATAGGCGATAATTTTCATAACGATATTTTCTAGATCGAAAAATCAAAAAATCGAAAAATCGAAAATCGATAATCGATAATCGATAATCGATAATCGATAATCGAAAATCGAAAATTGAAAAGTGGAAAAAACAACAGTTATCTGTTTAATAAAAACTTTCCATTCTACACTTAACTTTTATTTAATAAAGAAACCATAATGGTCGTGGACAAAGTATAGTATTAGACTCGCAATTTATGGCCATTATTCACTCGGGTGACTTGCGCCCCTCGCCTACGGCTCGGGACGCAAACGTCATCCTGCGTGAATAATGGCTACCATAAATTGCTCGTTTAATAATATACTATTATGAACCAGAATAAAACTTTTAGGACAATGTAATATAAACATTTGAATCTATTTTGGTTCGTATATTATTAAGTAGTTCTTTGTTCATCCAGTCTGAGCTTATTTGTTAGTTATCATTGTTTTGTTTTGTGTTTTTTTTAGTGTTTTTATAGGTAGTTTCACGTTACCCAGCAGTTGATCAACTGAGTTTGTTTATTAAATTTCATTTTGTTCTTGTTTGTGGTGGCGCAAATAGATTATGCTTTTATGCTTAAGTAGGCCTTAAGGATAAAAGCATAATCTATTCGCTCCATTATTTATCCATCATGATTTAAAAAGCAGTGAAGCGATTGATACTGTTGACAGTTGTAAGCAAAACATGTTTGACGACGGTGAAGACGGTCAATAATAAGTAATAGTAATAATTCATTTTATTGACCTTAAATTAACCATTTACGAAAAAATCTGATGTGTCCAACACATGACTTTCCTATCTAGTTATTACAGGCTTTTCCCGATTATTTTGTACAACCTATTGCAGCAACTCTGTAAATGTTTAAAGGATAAACAGATAGGAAAGTAAAAAAACATACAATGTAAACAAAAATACAGAAGAGATAATAATAATAATAATAAAATTTAAACTATGCTGCAATAATCAGTGTGATAAATTTATTGTATTTTCAATAAATATTTTAAGTACTTTTTCAGTTGATTTTAAGAATATAAATTGGCTTAAAAGTTTGCTCTTACTTTTAACTCTTCTCAACTAATTTGTGAACCCACAAATGCATTTGAAAGGCCAGGATCGATGTTTTCACATGCATCTTGTTCCAATTTTCACGTAAATCCAGCCAGAAAAAACAAAACTCAACATTATATTTAATATCTGACAAATTACGTTCTTATATTTTGTAATATAAAAATGAAACATTTTACAAAATCTCTACACGTTTTAAATGTTTCTTCAGAACCAGACTTAACACAATTTACCTAATTTTTGTAATAAAATAACGAACTTCCTTGCTTCCGATACTTCATAACAATATGACAACGTTGCTCGATATAAATTTGATATTTTCAGGTGGCGTCATCTATATAAGATTGTCTGAACCTAAAATTACAGGGATTACACCTGTTTTATGTAATGTTGGTTGCGTTTTTTGGGTTAAAATTAAAAATTTTTGTGCATATAAGACTGGAAAATGAAAGCAAAAAATGAAATATTTCTTATGCGGAGCCTCTAATGGGAATATATTCTAGTTCCTGAAATAGTTTTTATAGCGATTTATGATGACTTTTTACATGTAAAATTTTCACAAATTCGTTATTTTCTTCATTCTCTCAATTTTTTTCCACTTTAAAATATATTCAGGAACTAGTTCAATACTATTAGAATATTATAAAAGCAAATCCGCATAAATTAATTGTCTAGAAAGCCCGTCTTATATGTTGAAAAATTCTCCTATGCTAATACATTTGCTAACGCCGCCTTAAGGATGATTTTTTTTAAAGAAATTAAAAGACGAATATTAACTAAAAAATAATTTAAGTTACTAAGTATATTGTTGCACATTCATAAAATAGTGGAAAAGCTGCTTTTTGTGCGCATCAAATCAAAGAATCTTATTTTTTTAATATTTTCTCTAATGTACATTTTAAATTCACCTTCAATTTTATTCATCATATCAGTATCAATCCTCTTAGTCCAGTAACTGAAGACCTGAAAATATGCAAAGCTGTCATCAAGTCGGTCCAGATTTGCTTTGTGGCTCAATTATTAGGTCTTGACGATTGCTTTCAAGGGCGAAAACTTTTACCAACTCTGCTGCGTCGGAAAGGGCCCAAAATGGACCCTAAAACTGGTTTCCCGCCAATATCTTCCACAATATGCAAATTAGAGAATTTTTGTTTAGATAAAAAAGAAAGATCTTATCATTATCTACAAAAATGGCCCCTATCATTTTTGTCGGGAATTTGACAGGTTTCGAGATAACCGCAATCAAAAGTTCCCTCGTTCAGCCCCTGCTTTATCTCTATAGCAATGCTGATTAGCTTGTAAACGGGTGGACAAATTGTTTCAGAACTCGGTCAAAAATTGATATTTTTCGATGATTCAAAGTTCATTACAATGGGAAACCCCATAGGTATCGATCCATGTGCCTTGAAGCCCGTTATTTCCTGTCAAGAACATTGAAAAATGGGTCAAAGTTGCATTTTGGCACTATTTTGGACCACTTTATAGTAATTCATTCATATTTTTTTTCTTTTAATAGTTTTTATCCCATTTTTGTTTTAAATGGGATCTTGAGACGTCTCGAATGATCTCAGAAATTTTTTTTCAGTATCTTCCTGGCGTTTTAAAACAAAATTGATTTGTTTATTTGCATTTTTCATACGTTTTCGGAGTTATAGAAATCTTTGAAACGAGCAGTAATTAAAAACTCATATTTTATTATATTGTTATTCAATGCACACCATTTTAAAGCTTAGAGTGTCTACTTTTCGAATGTATTTTTTTAATGTTAGAGAAGACTGTAGAAAATTGGCGAAAACTCGGCAAGATCAAGACACCAAAAACGATAACTGCTATGAAGCCCAGACCTTTAAGAAAACGTCTCGCCAATTAGTGCAAATCCAGAAATTAATAAGCTGATTTGTTACGGATGTGGCAATCCCGGATTTATTGGCAGTAATTGTCGCCAATGCAAGCCATCAAATTAGACCTCTGCCGTCGATAGTAAGTTTTACTACCAGCCATTCGCAGATGATTACCAACGCAGACCGTTAGTCCGAATAGAGATCGCTGGCTCATCCAGGATGGCGTCATTGACACGGGCGCTAATTCTTAGAAAAATACTTATTAAAAAAAATATTCCTTACCAAACTCAGAAAATGAAAATGACATTGTCTGATGGAAAAAATCACTTAGTAGACGCCTCGGTATACATTGGTATTACTAACAGCAGAACTCTAATGGGAGTAGATTTCATTAAAGCCACCCAGATGTCTCATTGAACCTCTGGTATTTCAAGGAGAACCCTAATACATATTATCCTTACGTGGAGGAAGATGCACCCCATCCACTTCGTTAGCCAGTGCACAATTCTAACTGTTATACCTTCTCGAAGGCGAAGGTAGTTCTTTGGACCAGGAGGAGAGAACAATTTAATGAACTAATCGTCAATGCGTCAATTATCAGAAACTAAACTCGATCACGGAAGCTGAGGGGTATACGCTTCCACAAATGGATGATCTAGTGCACTCAGTGAAAAGAACAAAAATCATATCTACACTAGACCTCAAATTAGGATAGCATCAGTTCGTCCGTCTGATCGAGACAAGACAGCTTTTATAGCGTCATATGGACTTTTTCGTTACATTCGTATGCCGTTTGGCTTACGCAATTCCCCGTCAACCTTCCAGCGATTAATCGATAGATTCCGGACTGGACTACAAGATATTTTAATTATCGCTTATCTCGATGATTTGATAATCTTATCATCATATCTTCGTGACTTACAACGCGTTTTCGTGACTTACAACGCGTTTTCGTGACTTACACCGCGTTTTCGACAGATTAATCTTATTTCAATTGAAGCTAAACCGGATAAAATGTACTTTTGCATGTACTTTTGTATGTACACTACCTTGGTTATGTTACCACGAAAGAGGGATTCTATATTATACACTTTACAATTTAACAGATCCCCCTTAACCTCCATTTTCAATCAAATTTTTTCAGAATCAATAGGCTTCATCCCCTTATAAAGCTTGATTTCTTTTCTAAAGATTTCAATTTTGTATCGTTTTTTTGTTTCTGAGTTAGAATTTTTAATAATCCACTGTCCCTTAACCATAATTTTTCTTCAGATTTTTTCAAAATGCATAATACTCTTCACAAACTATTGTGTGAAGAGTATAAGTGTAATTAAAAGTCAAAAGCTTTACTAAAATCAGAAATATTGTTTCAAATTGCATAAAATTTAGAAAGAATATTTTGTTGATAGACCATCAGATTGGTAACTGTAGATCTACCTGAAGTAAAACCATGTTGTTAATTAATTACTGGAAAATCAAGACAAAGGACTGATCAAAAGTTTCTCAAAAAGTTTTGGTATGATCTATAACATACTAATGGGCCTGTAATTTTGTATATCACACCTATTGTCAGTTTTAAATACAGTAACAACAAATCTTGATCTCCATAAAGTGATAAAGTATTTTAATTCTAACAACAATTAGTATAAGAAGTGCTGACTCATTAAAAACATTTAAAAAGCAAGTTAAGAAACTCTTGCTCAAATAGGCCTACTACAAATTGGATGAATTTTTCTGTGCACCATTGAATTGATTAGTTCATTTTACTTAATTTGTATATATTTTCCAATTGTTATATTTGTACTTGGTGTTGTGCATTGTCTTGAGTTTTAGCACATTAAAGATGGTGTATTATGCACTGGCTGAATCAATTTTGAATTATGGGTTGGTGGTTTGGGGTAGTGCCGGAGTGACGGTTTTAAACAAACTACAGGTTGCACAAAAATATATCATAAAAATTATGTTATTTAAAAATAAAAGGTTTCCTACTGAATTGCTTTTCAAAGAGAGTCAGTTATTAAACATTAGACAGTTACACCTTAAAGCTATAGTTAGATTCATGTTAAAATTTTCCTATTATAAGGAATCCATAAGCCATGGGCGTAACACAAGAAATGCAGCTCAAAACAATGTCACACGCCAAAACCCCAAGCACACCATTTGCCAAAATCATATTTATTGTCTTGGTCCAAAAGTCTTTAACTGCCTTCCTAATGATATTAAAGTAAAACCATATTCTAAGTGTAAAAAAGAGATAAGACAGTGGATACTCCAAAGCAATTATGTAATTATGTAGTTTAATTTTAAGTTTAATTTTAATTTTAAATAATAAGTATATCACACAATTACTATTCATATATATATACTTATTTTACTATCTCTTATCGAATTATTGTTACCACATTTCTACTACTTTAGTATAAAAATCTGTTATACTTAGCTTAAATAAGAATATATTTTTTGTTATTTTTTTTTTTAAGTCAAAATGGTTAAACCTCAAAGATACATGTATAAGAAAAAGAGTGCGCACACAGTACTTTAAGTACAATCATGCACACACAGTACTTTAAGTACAATCATGCACTAGAGTAGAAGTTTTCATTTTAAATATTATTTAGAGGGTGACCTCAATTTAGGAATTAAGTAGTTAAGTAATAGAGTTATTTTTCTCTTGTTCCTATAGATAATTAATTATAATACTGTTTAATATAAATGTAGACTACTACATAAATAAATAAAATGAAAAAAAAATAAATATGCATGTTTGTTCTTTATATTTTATAACTCCGCATTAGAAATTAAAACATTTTTAAAACAAATTTTGTTTTCTTTTTTTAATTTTAATTTTTAACTTTTTGTTTTTAACATTCTTATATTATTATGTTATCTATCTTTGTTAATAAGAATGTACCTAATTAATTCTTCAACAATAAATAAATTTTAACTTGACTTGAACTATTGAAATAAAACATGAATAGTGTAGCTAGACATTGTTTCAGAAAATAAGAGGAGATGCCATTTTTATGTATAAGGAATTTACCTTACTTGAGTTTATATATGTAATAAAGTTTGCTAACGAAAATTAATTTATTTTTTTGAACCAAATCTAACTAAAGTAAAAAAAATATGCCCAGTGAAAGGATAAATAATTTAAATAATAAAGTAAAACAAAAAAATTAAATATTTAATGATAAAAAATTAATTATCAAAAAAAAATTTATTTTGCCTAACTGTAGAGGACGTCTCTTAGTGCAGCATGGGATAATCGTTTTCTGTCAAAGCACGCCGCATTGAAAGGGTTAATGTCCATAAAATTAATTTTAGGAATATTATTAAAACGTACTTTTGTGCATTTATTTATAGGTATATTATGAATATCAAATTTTGTACTTTCTGTACCTGGAACCATATATCAAAAAACTAGTTTCGTAATTTTTAATAGTTATAGCAGGTCAAATGGAATAGGTTTAGACATACTTACTCCTACCCAGTGAATTTACTATTCAGAAGTTACATTTATGTATAAAAAAAATTACCTTTTGGGGCATATTCAAGAATCAGATACACTCTAGATTCATCGTGAAAGAATCCATACATTCTTAGGATATTGGGATGCTTCAAATGGGTCTGTATTTCTATTTCTCTTCGAACTTGATTTTCATTGTTACATTCTTTAATGCCAGATTTAAATAAAACTTTGAGAGCAACTATAAACTTGGATTTCTTTTCACGCGCTAAGTAAACATTACCAAATTTCCCCTTTCCTAAGGGTTTTCCAATATCAAAGTCTGATAATATCCATTTGTGTTTCTCCTCCTTATTAGCCGTTTGTCCATAATTCGCCCTAGTTGATTTGGTACTTTCCGATCGATTTTCTTTTTCTGTTAAAGCCCCCGAAACTTTTTCTTGTCTTGATGTTTTTTCACTAAAATTTGTTAACGCGGATTTTGGAAGATCAGGATTTACAATATTTGTTGAATATGTTAAATGTCCTTTGTCCTGATTTGTAGCTTCTAAAACTTTTGTGGTTGGTTTGTGAGCCATTTTTAATTAAAATAATACATGTAATTTTTTATCACAAAAATAATCGTTATTTTTTTAATTATAAAATCTAGAATATAAATGACTTCTTAAAACGGTCGTCTATTTAAAAACTTAAAACTTTTAAACGTGACAAATGACAATTTTGTCATGTTTTAGAGTATGGTCCGTTATTAACCGAAATATCGATTACTCCCACTGAACTACAATCTGGAAGAACAGAGCCGATCAACAAAATCAAGCCGCATAGCGAGGTGATATTTGACACTGTGGCACCCACACGTGCGTATCGAAATGCACTAAAAAGGACCATCAAAATTAATTTAACACTTATTACATTCAACTACGACACCTTTTAATTTAAGAAAATCACTTAAAAATTATTTTTGATTAATACGCAGCTGAAACAAATGGTCCAATAATAATAATTATTAAAATAGCGCGTTATTAATAAAAAATAATATAATTTGTTTTAGTACGCCCGTGGGAAATGCTCGAAATTGACAGTCTGGCGTCCAAATTGTCATGCGCACCAACCGTTTTTTCACCCATGTCGGCTTAGAAATTAGGAGTAGGGTTTATTTCATACATTGCGTTCGGTCTGCCACGTTCCTTTAACTCCTTTAACACTTTTAACTCCAAACGACTCTTTTAGCGTTCGGTTTAGTCCGATTAGTGACAGTTTAACACGCTTAAATGTCATTTAAAAGCACCCTAAAATTTGTCCCGCTCCAGCCCCTGACTGACCGAACTCGCCTATATAGCCATCCAATTATATCAAGGTCGGTGATCTATCCTTGGTCAATCTGTCACAAAATTGACGCAACTGTCAGCCGTGGTCCAAAAGTAACCAAAAAATTAGTTTTTTTCAGGAACCTATCCAAAAATCTTGGTTACTTGCGGTTAGTAGTCGGTTAATAACGTACCATACCCGAACTTCGATTTTAGTTCAAGGACGACTTAACTAATAAGTCCGATGCAGCTGAGTTTTGTTGATAAATACGGACCATACCCTTAATCAAACGTCAATGTCATAATGGGTCATGTCATGTCGTGTCAAATGTCATATCAACATATCAACGCGAGAAGAAAAAAGTATGGTGCATTTTTGATATATTTAATTATGATGTTACATTTTAAGAGAAAAACATTAATTTGTTGATTGTTATTAAGTTTAAAATTTTTAATTATACATGTTTAATATTTTGGAATACTATGAAGATTATCTTTTTATTTTTAAGGTAATAATTCTGAAGATATCTTTTTATTTTTAAGGTAACAATTTTTGCATTCTTGCTACTTATCAGATCTATTTACAGAACTTAGATTAAATTGACAATATTGAATTTTAATAGAATTAATTTATTTTAGCCTATTATGTATATAATTTGTAATATGTACCAGATTATAAGTTTTGTATCCAGTACAAGTTGTAAGCTTGTACTGTACAACAAGCTTACTCCCCTAATATTAGTAAAGTTCATGACTTGCTCTGAAAACTAATGCTAATTTTAGGTTTATATCGATTATTCCGTAGCAAACATATTAAAGTGATATTTGACGATTAAATACATTAGCTTTTTCAAGTGTTGTTCCAACAAATTTTATCTTATTTTTTAATATAATTAATGGCAATGCAGATGCTGGAAAGACTGTTAAAAGTTGTCTATTAATGTGGCAATACATTTTTATTTTTGAAACTGCTGGATATAAAAGGTATTTACATATATTTACTTCTTAAAATAATTCATTAAAGTACTCTATTATTCTGTAAAAAACATTCTTTTAACTACAGATAAAAATGTGAATGAAACAAATTTCCTGGCAAATTGATAGTGCAAAATTTTAAATAGAATTGCCATGCATAACTTAAATAATTATAAAACTAATTGTCATTTTATTCATATGAATTAATTAAAATATTATTTATTCAACACTTAACATTTTACAATCACATTAGATTGTAATAACATTTTTTTGGGCATTTATCATTTCATTCATCAACAACAAAATTCTTCATATGCACCATCTTGTACACACTTCATCAAATTAAATCTATCAAAGAAAGTATAAAAATACCAAATTTATCAGATGAATGCCACTATCAAAGCAGAAAAAAATATTTAGGATGTGATTCCAAATAGAATTTTCATACCAAAGATTCAGTGCATTAGAATCAATCAAATGAAAAACTTTAGGAAAAACCCTTTAAAATATATTTTTTTATTTTGGTCAAGCATTTACTAGAGAACATGTAAATGAAGCAGAAAATATATTCAGCATGAATCAAAGAGTACCAAAGAAATTACAATAACATTAATCATAATAATTACTTGTACACAAATATTAACAATAAGTGTCACTAAATCCTCACCAAAAAACAATCAAATAATAGGTTCTAACCACACAAACTCAATAGGACCTTGCCAAGTCTAAAACTAGTCTAAATTTTACTTTAAGGATTTGACAGTCTTTGGTATGACAGATTGCTGTCCTAACTCTACTGAGTTAATTAGAAAATCTTGATATATAGATAAATTCATGCAGGTGCTACACCCTCTGAAGGATCCGGCTCTTTAACAATGTATTGCTTAGAAGTGTTAAATATTATGTCAGCTAGAATTGGCTGTATAGGAATAACTGATAACAAGTAAATGTCTGTGATCAATTTTGTCGCCCGATTTGAACATAGGAAAAAGTGTGGACTCCTTCCAAATCGAACGGAAAATATTTGTATCCAATAATTTTTTTTATTTATTTATAAAACACAAAAACAGTTACATAATTATGCTACAACCAATTAGTCTTATCTTAACTTATATACATTTTCTTGGAGACACCTAGATGCTTGATGCATCTGTATGTGTCTCATTACAATTTGTACATTTATTTATATGCAATTTTAAAATTATCTCAAGACTCATAAAGCCCTATTACAATTATTTCTATATAAACTTTACCTTACATTACTAAATTTTACTTTATTTAAATAATTCTTTAAACAAGTTATAGTTGTTAAAGATATATGTATTACATTTTTTTTTAAATAATTTGTTTCTGATATTTTTTTATTTTGCCTGATAGAATATTATAAATTTTTGGTGCTAAATAATTAAAAAATATTAGGTTAATGTTTCAGTGACTCACCAGAATACTATTTTTTTTTTGTTTACCTAATTTCTTGTGTGATATTGAAGAATTAAAATGTTTTGTAGGGAAATTCTAGTATGTATATAAGTGCATATTGTTGAAATGTAGATGGTTCTGATATTGCAAGTATCATTTGTATACAGCAGGTCTGTTGGATACATTTTATTCTTACCGTAGATGATTTTTGTATTTTCTTTTGTATTATATTTAATTTGCATATGAACCTCCCCAAACCAAAACTCCGTATCTTATTAATGATTCAATAAATGATTTATATATTATGACTAAATTGTTTTTATTTAAAACATTTAAATAATAAAATCTATAAATTAGTTTGTGAATTTTATTAGAATTATAAATTATGTGTTCATGCCACTTCATGTACTGATCTACAATAACCCCCAAATACTTTATTTTGGAGACCTAATTATTTTTTCATTTTCAAGCGTAATGAAAGTATTGTGGGCATGTTTAAAATGTTAATGAAAAAGCTATATAATTGTTTTTTTTTTTTAATTCGAAGAGAGTTTGTATTTGGCCAATTTTTTACTCTAGTTAAGCCCATTATCATTTTGTTCTTAACATCATTTCAGTCTACTCCTTCAAAAACTAAGAAGGTATTGTCAGCCAAGGAAATTATTGTATCAAAATTGTTTGGCAGACCCTGTATTTTATTAAAATTTTAGATTCTCCCTAAATAACTACAATACTCTGTTTTTAAACTAAGAGGAGCGATTTGAATTTAAGTTGGCAATTCTGTAGCCTTCTGATTAGTCAGATTACAGTCAGTTTCACACATTACTTTTTAGCATGAACATCAGCTAATAATTGATATTGTTGACAGTTCTGAGATTTTATAATTTGATATCTCATTCATTACTTAGTTTTTTTACTTTATTTCATAAATAATAGTTCTTCAGTAAGCAATTGTATTGAAAATCTACAATTATGGATCCTTCTACACTGAGTACTATTAAAAGTAGCAATTCCTGAGAAGCCTTACAAGAAAGGGAAGACACCTTATTATTTTACATGCTGATTCTGAAGGTTTTGTAGAAAATGCATTATTGGTTTTTGAAGGTAAAAAGACGGGAGATTACCATGAAGAGATGAATTCCGAAGTATTTTAGAAAAAAATAATTTTAATACTGATTTTTTAAAACTAAAAATTGATGAATTTCTAACCAAAATGATTAAAATGTAACTAAATATTCAAGCAAATTTTATTTATTAGAATAGAATAAAACTATTTACAAAATTGTTATAACATTTAAAACACCATCTACTACTTTAGGGATAATCTTAATTTGGCATAATGAGTTAACATTACTTTCACAAAAAATATTTTAAAAATACTTAAAATTAATACATAGGTACCTATGTATGAATAGTTCACTTTAAAAAATATATGTTGACATGTAGTGTTAAGAAAATGTTGGTTCCAGTTTTCAAAACAAATTCTGACTCATAGGCCTGTAAACTTTTGAATGCCTTTATTTGCCCTCTAGCGCATTAACCATGGGTTAACACTAAATAAGCCATAATATCCACATTAATCATAGAAGAGATACCAGTTACTGTGTGATCCACTTGTCATTCACTGATCAACTTTTACTTCTATAACAAATATATCCTTAAAAATGTAAACAGATTTTTATATTTTATAATAACCTGGCTACATCTGGATATTCCATTAACAATTTTCTTAAATATTTAATATCCATTTTAAAAAGATCATAGTTATTCTAAAAAAGTCGATTTCAAAAGCAAGAAAAAAGTATTTCTGACATCAATCAACAACCATACTGACTTTAATTTGACAGTGAAATTTCGTTTTAGACACACATTTCAGATCACAATAATGTGAAATTTGCGACCGTTGTCTGGGACCAATTAAAAAATTATTTCTATGACATTTATTCGTTTCAGAACCGCTCATTGGCCGTTCACCGACTAAGGCCGATAAAGATAATTATTTCATAAATTTTGAACACGACTATATTTCGAAACTCGCTCTTAGTAACAAATCTAGTTACTTTTCCCTGTGTAAATGCGCCTTTTCAATTCGCTCCTCCTAGTTTAAAAACAGAGTATAATTTCATTGATCTGTCAGACTTGATTTGTTAAAAAATAGAGATTTTTGAATTTTAAATTTTTTTCTGTCAAAACCATGGAGGTAGAAGGTAGGGAGACGCTATGAGCATATTTTTCAAACATTCAAAACGGTATCACTTAGTCGTGGTGACAGTCATTCCAATATGGCCGTTCTGCCAGGGCCGGACTATTGGTAATGCAACTCAATTAATTGTAAGTTATAAATTAATTGTCATAAAACGGATAATTATTAACAGTTTTAATAAAAGTATTAATAAATTATTAAAATGCAAGTAAAAGGAGACTTTCTGTAACATAGTTAAAAAAAATAAATAAAAATTCCTCATTTCATTTTATATGTCACGGTTTATCAGTTACGGTTTAACATAAAATAATCAAACAGTTGTTAAGGTATTAATAGAAAATATATTATGGCAAAATCAATATCCAATATAAAAATTATGTTTATTGACCCTTAAACAATACAATTTTATTATTGTGATGTCTTATGCTATCACATTTTTTTATTTTACTTTTAATAAGGTAACACATCCTAATGTTTGTGTATTTGGTAGCTAAAGCTTTTATTAACAGAACTCCATGGTTATCCAATGGATCCTGATCAAAACCGTGGGCTATCAAATTTGCAAATATATTTTTATTTATAAATGACTTTAACACTGAAGATACAATAGAGTCTATAGAATTAAGATGATAATTTGAACTAACAGTTCTCTTTTTGAGTATTTCTTCACATTGCAGACAAACGTCTATCACATTCACAGAGGGATACTGTAGGCTCTTTTTATTTTTTTTTGTCTATAAATGAAAATATTCGTAGGTCTTTCTGGTCTGCACATAAAGAATTTACGCATTCCTCACAAATAAGATTTTTTTAAAGAGAATATAGTATAGCCAGCAATATACGTTACAATATATTTTGTAAATTTCGATAGCGTAGGGTTTGGTAAATAATCATGATCATGCTCAGTATTATCTAGCACACTGTAGTAATTTTCTGATAAACCAAGAGCCCTGTAGTCTCTTGAAGATTCGTTAATTTGTTGAACGGGACATTTTAAAATTCGGAGCTCTTCTAGCGGAATACATTTTCACGAAAACTTTCACGTACTTCGACATGTACTAATATTTTCTTATAAGCTGCCCGAAATTTTCGGGCGGTGGGGTTATTGTTGTGGCCTCCATGTGAGCGAATGCAGCCAAAGAATAATTCTATGTGGTCTTGAGATATTTTATACCTTGGTAAAAACTGTAGAGTGTTGGAAGAAATATACTTATCCATGTCATTTAAAGAAGTTTCTATAATTTCATATTTTTTTAAAGACAAATGCTTTTTATAATGAAACTGAAGTAAATTTATAGAATTAAAGATAACAAAGAGAATATTTGTGATTATTTTAAATCTAATTTTTGCACCAACTGCAACAAATTCTCTCATTTTTAATTCAAAACCCTAATATGGTTACATCACATTCACTCAAAGCATAATAAATATCCCAAATACGACCCTGCACATTGTTTACTATGTTGTATATTGAGTTGTGGAATGTTATTTCAGATCATTTCTTCATATAAATATCTATTAGGTTGCTAAAAATATGTTTAGCACAAGCAACCAATGTTTAATTTTTAATATGTACAATATATAGTTTGCAAACGACATAAAAATTGAAAAACCGTTCATTGAAACCAGGATTAGCTGTTTAAAATATTTGTCAATCTAATATGGCGGAAGTGAACCCGTCTTGGACCACGTGACAGCGTCTCCCTACCTTCTACCTCCATGGTCAAAACTATTCATAATCGATCAAAATCGCTAACTTATTCTTTCCTATCCTATTTCTTTTATTTACAACCTCATAATATTTAATTAAAACAAAACAAAAATTCAGATTAGGTAAAATATAAAAGTACCTAGGCGTAGGTACACGAACTTCTGTATTTTTGTTGAAAATCAATAAACTTTTAAAAGTTCACATTTTATTATTTACTTACCTGTTCCATTTTTTTATACTTATCGATTTTGTCTTTCCCCTTAAGTTAAGAAGACCTTAAATGGTACAGAAAACAATACACTTAGGGCTGGTTGTATAAAGCTTACTTAAAATTAAGCACAGTTTTAGGTGATACATGTCAATTTCCGAATCTATATGTGCAGTCTAATGTTTGGGGAAAGAAGCCCTAAGTGCTAAATGGTGTTTAGACTGTACTTTGCCATACAAAATTTGTCATGTGTCTCCTCAAACTGAGTTTAACTTTAAGTAAGATTTATACAACCCGCCCTTAAGATATCTTTAACTTTAAGAAATCCTTAAGAAAGTCGTTGTAAACGGCTGTTAGTTTGATACTTTGAATTACATATTTAAAAATTTTATTTGTACTGGTCCGGTTGGTTCATGGTTCCTTAATTCTATCATAATTTGTTGTTTTATCGGCAAAGTAATTGCTAATTCCTATTTTTACAACATGTACTTTGCACTTTTAATTAATTCCTTTTTGAAAAATACTTTGTAATTGTAATTATTTTTAAAGTACATGTAATTACCCAGCTCTGATAGGAACTATTACTGTTGATTTAAAGTGAGTAGGAATTGTCCCTGTTTCAAAGCAATAATTAAAGATATGGGTTAGGGGTATAATCATCACCAAATGAGTTTGTTTAATAATATTTGTTGATATACCATCTTATCCAGGAGCACTGTTGGTTTTTAATGCAGAGATGTGAGTAATTAAGTCATTCCTGGTTATTGGGAATAGCAAGAGAGAATGTGGATTGGGGTATTTCAACTCGTATGGTTCGTCTGTATCTGGAATTTTTTTGCCACATCTAGACCAATCCTAGAAAAGTAATTGTTGCAGTAATTTGCCATATCTGTGATCTCATCTCTGTGAATTATAATTTGTTCATTTTTAGTTTGGTTTTCATTTGTACATTCCTTTATAATGTGATATAATTTCTTTGTTGTTTTTATTGATTTCATTTTGGTAAAATTTATTTTTACTTATCTGTATACAGATAAGGAAAGTATTGGAATCATGTTTTCGACGGATTTTAACGTTTTGGGGTTCCCTGAATCCGTTTTGACAATTTTCGCGATGATGTGTTTGTGTGTGTGCAAGTTTTTGGTTTAGCAACTCGAAAACTCATTTAAGAAACGCCGCATTACGGTAGAGAAGGAACATGACTTGTCACCAAGCACTTATTTGATTTCCTCAAAACATTTTTTACGGTTTAAGCCATGCTTGAAATTTAAAAAAAAACAGACTAATAATGCTCCTTATTCATTTCCATCACTTATTGGCTGGCGAAAGGGTTACTTTAAACTTATGTAACTTACAATCAGATAGATTTGACATATGTCACTATCTAAACTTGTAAACAACTAGATTGAAATATCAGACAAAATTTGTTCCAAAAATATCATCGCCTACTAATAGACTCGGCGAAAATAGAACTAGACAGGGATTTTTATGTGCCAACTCAACACGTTACGTGTTGAATAGAGAGAGAGAGATTACATAAGAATTGCATTCTGTCGAACGAAGATAGGCGTCTTGACATGTTCCGTTTTGAAAGATTAGAATCCCACTACAGCTCTCGTGATTTGTCATTAATTATACTCTTCAAACAGTAATCTGTGAAGAGTATTTATTATAGGTTAGCGCACACTGGGCGACAGGTCACGACGGCTAAGTCGTCGCGACCAACACATATTTGCGACAATGTTGCGTCCAATATCAAGCGACCAATTTTCTAATTCCAAAATAAATATAGAGCAAATAGCGGCTCGCTTATATTTTCTGTCAGTCGTCATTGCGACACCTATAATTGAACACAAAATCTTGTTGGTCGCGTTATTTTACGCGGTCTGCACGTCGAGCAGGTTTTTGTTGGCCGTCGCGACCTCTTGGTGGTATAAGTAATATAAATGGTTCTAGCGGCCGTGACGACCTGGCTGTCGCGACCTCTTACTTTGTCCGTCCGTCCGATGTCACGTTTTTGTCCGCACGATAAATCAACGAAAAATGCCAAGTATTCATTATATATCTTCACTCTAGTTTGGTTATGTATTTAGTTTCATAAATGTTTGTTTTTGTTTCAGACCCAGTACACTCAACTGAAATTAGATTTTAAAGGAAATAAGTGATCGATCTGCTACAATGTTTAATTTATTTAATGGATTGTCTTCGTCAGGTTCTGGTTATATACCGGAAATGGAGCAAATTATTAGCCAGCTTGAAAGAGGTACATTGGTAACGAAGTATTCCTGGAGAAAGAAACCTGAAAGGAAAACTTTGGCTATTAGAAGGGAGACAAAACAATTAATTTGGACCAGACCTGCATGTAATTCCAAGCCATCTTTTGATGCGGCAGTTAACTTAAGTGAAGTTAAAGAAATAAGATTGGGAACAGGAAGCAAAGATTTTGAAAGGTGGCCAGATGAGTCAAAGAAAATTGAAAACAAGTGTTTTGTAGTTTACTATGGAGTGGAATTTAAATTAAGAGTTTTAAGCATTGCTGGTTAGTATAAAAATTAACTCAGTTTTCTGTATTGGTTAATATTTGTCCTAATAATTTCTTTATCAATACTCATACTTTTTACCATTTAACTTTTTACATATTTACTTTTCATTAATTATTTTGAAACTTAATTTTGTAAAAGAGTTACTTTCGTTGTGAACTCTTTGTATGTTGAGATTAATCAAGTTTATGTATTTACAAAAAAATACAATACAAACAAGTACAATAATAAAAAACAAATACAAACTACCTACATAAATATTAAGATGGATTGACACAACAAATGATTCCTGACGTGACCATAGTTTTAAAACATCCGCCGAGGTCCTTAGTTAATGGTGTATCCTTCTAATGATTATATAGATATACAGAACATAAGGATTTTTTCTGTTTTAAAATCAATATCCAACTTCAAGATCTGACCGTTACCTGATTGATCAGGTGAACATACTCATATTCTGTCTAAAGCTTATATTTTTTATTGGTTGGAAATCGTATCTCTATACCTAAGCTAGTTTTTGATATAGTATGTTTAGAAAAAATAGTATTTTCATTTTTTAAAGAGGTTAAAAGTCGGGGGTGTGCTCTCACCTCATACATTCATCCACTAGAAGTAATCCAGTGGAGGTTCTTAAAAATAATTTTTAATAAATCACCTGGATACTCATCAGATGATCTGTATAACAAAAATGGAGTGCTCGGTGTTAAGCAGCTATTTTACTTAACAGTTGCCTTAAAATATCAGGACGTTAAAAACTTAATTAAATTACCTTATCACGAACATGACACACGAGAAAAAAATACATTATACACTACCAAAAATGCAAAAGTCCTTGTCAACGTTCTTTCTGGTATATAGCTCCAAAAATCTTTAACTCAATCCCGGAAAACATTAAAAACTTATATACAGTAAATCAAGACATTATTGTAGAGAAAAAAAATTTAAATCTATTTCTAATTCACAAAAAAAAAATTTATTTAATTTGGTTTAATTTATATTATATAATATTTAGTTAGGTACATTTCAAATGTGTTGGGTTTTATGGTTTTTATCTTTTTTATGTTTTGTATTTTTTTGTCTTTGTTTTAGTTTGTACACACTTTGTAAATGTTTGTTGTAAATAAATTATTATTATTTTATAACTAAATATAAATAAGTGTTCCATTCTGAGTTTTTCCCGAAACGACTATCCGTACTATTTCGACTACAAAATTAATAATTGTAAAGTGCTGAGAGTTGATATTTTTAAAGATTTAGGTGTGACCTTTGACCGACAGCTTTCATTTAATGTTCACATTGAAAATACAATCTTTTCAGCTAATTAAATGTATGGAATGATAATAATAATAATAAATCTTTATTTGATCACTATACAATGATGTAGGATATGTCAAGATACATGTAGTGGACAAAACACAATTTAAAATCTACATTTAAATATACATATACACACACATACATAATATATATTACGTTACCTAGTAATAATCCTTAATATCATAAAAACATTTTGTTACTAAAAATTTTTTTAATGTTTTTTTAAAGCTGTTAATGGATTTTATGTTTTAATATCAGCTGGCAATTTATTAAATAATTATTATTACTCAGGACTATGTTCATAGAGAGCAGATACATGCCTAATTGTACGTAACATATTGCCATTACGAGTGGGGGAGCGTTCAAGTATTACATAAGGCAATTTTTGGAGATTTTTAACCCCCCTCCCCCCCCATGTAACGCGCCGTAACGTTTTTTTGTACCCTTCCCCTCCTAGTAAAACGTTACGTAACCACCAAGTGACTATTTTTACCTAAAAATCACAATTATGTGGCGTAAAGTACCGGAAAGTCGCTAAAATACCGTTAATATTATTTATTAACATTTGAAATGTCTATGTTTTAAAAGCAAGATATTTGTAATGTCTTTTTTTTCTTTTTTTGTCCTAATAAATTTTTACTAGGTAAGTACTAATTATACATTTAATTACGTCCTTTTCCTGACTTGGCCCTGTCTTTACACACATTTTTGCTTTATCCGCCATTGTTCTTCTCATGCATTCTCCTATTTTAGCGTTTTACTAATAAATCTATTAAAATAAAATAAATTTAATTTTTAATAATTTAATTTTACCTTTGGCAATGCAATTACAAACATAAACCTAACTGAAATAAAATATATTTGTCAAAATATAATCGTATTTAAGAATACGATCGAACGAAAACATTTAAAATAAAATCAGCCATAATTAAAATAAGTATATTGTAAAAAAACACAATTCAATTGAAGTTACTGCTCCTCTGTCCACGAGTTTGCCAGCCACTCAGATTCTTTCATTACTGGCATCCGGAGAGCAGACAAAGGGTTCTGGAATTGTTAACCCGCTTGCGTCAACTGGCAAAGTTCTTGACTTTGCGATAACGCGGGTTTTCGTCCGGCCCACCATTTACAAAAACGATGACCACTGGCTTTACGGTGTTCGATTCTGTCATCATTAAGGGTTTGAATGCAGACACTGATAAAAGTGATTCGAAATCATAAGCATGGGTGTTCGCTGTGGAGGATGCGTGTTTCCCGCTCCTTATAGATATGTGTGTCGGCCCACTGTAACCAACAGCTTCTTCCTTACCGAAACCGTAAAATCCACATTGACGTCGGTGTATACTGAGGGAATAAGTTTATGTCGCTCTGCTACGACCCAGTCATGGTCAGGTAAAAGAACTCTGTATTCCTTATGCATTAAAAGAGGACTATGACTTTTCACTGCCGGTAAACCTACACGGGCCTTATCGTCTTGAGAAAGAACAAATACTTGATGCGGCCCCAGAAGCGACGCGAGAGACTCCAAGGACCTGATTGTAGCAGAATTCCCCATCCTCTTGCTTTTTGTGCATCTCGGTCTGTGGTCTTGCGTACTTTACGGGGTCGGTGCGTACGTGCCTCCTTCCCTCTTGAGTATCAGAAGCGCGTGGAAGTAAATGAAGATACGAGACATTTGGAATCTCATCGCCAACAGCCTCTCATGCAGATCGGACAGAGTGAGACAACTTCTAATCATTTCTGTTCGGCGGCTTCATCAGCAGCGCTGCCATGAATAGCGATGTTAATTATGGTCTCTAGGAGAGCAGGTTGCGAGTCAACCAAAGGGGGCTGCCCAGGGCCAGATCGAGGTTTTACTGCAGAAGGATTGTTTTTCTGAATTTCAGCTTTCTCAAGTTTTTCTTTGGCTCGAAATTTTTTTGCTCGCTTGGCATTGTCTCTTTTCTTCTTTAAACATTTTTGTTCTTCTTTCAATTCTTTCCTTAGTTTTTTATTTCTTCGTGAACTTCATCGTTGGCTATACCAGCGTCTCTTGCTTCAGTAAGAACGTTTATTCTCTGTTGAAGTAGGCTAATTTTTTTCATAAAAGTTTCTTGATCCGGTTTGTTTTGAACATTTTTATTGATGTCTGAAACAATCAAAGTCGTGCGTGGTTCCGTAGACGGGATGTCCAGGTTGTCTACAGTCTCCTCATTAGTAGTCTCACTTCGCTCAACATGGATATCGCTCATCTTTCGTTTGACGGCAGTGCTCTCTCTTCCACCGACTCCGACAATCGATCCCATAAGAGATGAACACGCGGATAAAGCTACAGCATCCGAATCCTATAAACAAAGAGAACATCCTCAATATTTTAAACTAAACTCAGAGAAAGTAGAAAGAAAGTATAACATATGCATTGAAATATATAATAAATTACCTGAATTCATTAAAAGATTAGACATACATAAATTTTGAAGAGCTTTAATATCACGGCTCAATGAGAGGTGTTTTTACACAATTAAGGAATATTTTGATTATAATGAGCGTGAAATGATATAGTTCTGTATCTACGTTCTAAATTTTTGTTTAATGATAAATTCATAATTATAGCAAACTAGCGGCCGCCCGCGACTTCGTCTGCATAGGTATCTTTATAAATTATGTCATTTGGTGTTATTCTGTATAAGCTATATTACTGTGAAGTTTTATCAAAATCTGTTCAGTAGTTTTTGCGTGAAAGAGTATCGAACATCCATCCATACAAACTTTTGCATTTATAATATGAGTAGGATATTAAAAAAAAAATAATATATGTTTTTTTTATTATTATTTATTTTGTTATGACTTGATGTAATTTTATTTCGAATTAATTTTGTATGAAATTTGACACTATGATATAAGAAGTACCTACATCCCTAATTTGCACGCCTTACCTTAGGATGAATACTATAACTGTAGATACCTACCTATTTTTAAGACGTTGTAAAACTACTTGTGTTCATGCAAATAAACAAATATTATTACTCGCGATAGCAGGTTAACTAGGATTCCCTTAAATATGTATGATCAATGATTTATACTACACATATTGTTTATATAAACATCCAAACCTAGAAAACTGTAACCACGTTCCACTTACTATTTATTAATTTAGGTTTGTAATTATTATTTATTACATTTAAAAAATACTTACCTGTGTAAAATAAATAAGCATTGTCGCTTTCTTCTTCGTGGCCTTCACCTTTAACTCTCGTATAACATCATTTATGTGTTCTGTAAACTTTTCTTTATTTTAAAATTTTTCTTTGGCCGATTTCCATATTTCATTACTATTTTTTTGGCATAGTTGCCCTGGCAAGTCAGCATGAGAGCCTTTATACGCCAAAAACAATTGATGGTATAAATCTCCCTCATTTGAGGACATTACTCTTTTTAACAATGACGGACATTACGGCAATTAACTCCAGCGTATTACGCAGCACTCGAATACTGTCAATGAAATGACGTACAATACAGTCGGTCCAGTGCTTGAAGCACTCGGGAAATTCCCGTGAAAAAAAAAAACAAACGAAAAGGGTTGCCAACTTGGGAGAACAAAATACGTACAATTCAATCGGGAATCCGCCGTAAAAAATAAATGAAAAGAGTTGCCAACTTGGGAGATTTTAATTCCCTAGTTTTTTTTATTAACCCTTCAGACCAATCGTCTTTCGTACCACAATCATTACTGTTGTGATAAGAAAAAATTTCACACAGAAAAAGTGTAAGTAAATATTTTGAATATCAATATTATAATTTCTAATATAGCGATTGGAGTCTACGGAGATAGCCGAAGTATAACGAAGCCATCCGAATTGAGGTATTTTTTGTTACCTACTTTACTGAGTATCTATTCTTGAATCTTAGGGAGTAGAAAATTTGAGGGAAGAATGAGATAAAAATACAAATTTTGTGCGTTGCAGATAAAGAGGAAAAACCGGTTTTCTACTCCCTCGAATTCAAGAATAGCTACCCAGGAGTGATGAAAAAAACAATCACAGCTGTTGATAAATATTTTTGTTGCTCTATATTTGGAGTTTAAACAAATTCACTATCCTGTAAAGCAAGCAATTTTGTGAAGGTAAAACAAATTTGAAATTTTGAGAAAAAAAATAATAATTTTACATAACGCGTAGCTCAAACCCCCTTCCTCCTCCCGCCCCTGTAACGCATCGTAACGTTTTACAAAACCCCTTCTCCCCCCTAAATTCGTTACGTAATACTTGAACGCTCCCTGGGATAGTTGTGACAATCATTGTTCCTGAAAAATTTAGCTTCATTTTTTTGTATATAGGATTGTCTTATAAATATAGATTGAGGGTAGAGTGAGTATGTGATATTTAATAAAATGATCCCTGCATGTTTGTCTTGATTCCAGGTTGAAGATAAGTCTAATTGCTCTTTTTTGTGCAATAAATACTCTTGTAGCAGCAGGAGAATTTCCCCAGAGTGTAATATTGTATGATATGTGTGAATATACAATTGCATAATATACCTCTAGAAATTGGTTAAATGTAAATATCTGTTTTAATTGAAGTAGAGCATAACAACCGCTATTAACCTTTTTACAGATGTAATTAATATTTGATTCCACCTTGGTTTCCCTTACGACATTTTACTTAATCGTTATTCTGTTATTTTTCTTCAAGATCGTAGATATATAAATTCTCTTATTTTCTTATACAAACTAATAAGTTCCTCTTTTGAAATCTTAAATTTAATTAACTATCGTGTTCCAAGTGAAAATTCTAGGCACTCCGCAACATTTTACTTACCCACTCCTAAGAACAATACTTTAAAATATTCTCCTTTATATTTTTATACAATGCGTTGCAAGATAGCTTTTATATTATTAATTGTTTGATAAATGTAATAAAAAATAGTATATCCTAAAATTATAAAAAATTAGCTTTTAAATATCTAGTGTATGTGTATAAACTAATTTTCTGTGTTTGTGATCACTCCTTTTTTTGACCTCCCATGTTTTTTTTTTTTTGATGGATTGCATATAAATTTTAATTAGTAATAGTGATATAATGTATCTTTTTTAATTGTTCTGTTATGTTTTATATTTGCTAGTTTTTTTATACTGGTTTTCTATATTTTTATTTGTATACTTATATCCTATGTTAGAATAATTATAAATGCTGTATTTTCCCACTCTGTAAATGGAAAAACCGTAAGTGGTGTATGTTAAATAAGCAAATAAATTAACAATTAGGAGATCCCTCCATGTAGGAGATTGTTTAGGAATGTTAACAAAATGGAATGTGTGCATTATGTAAAATGTCGCAATCATTTTTTATCAATACCTAAGTACTCTTCTGCAAACATATCAAAATAATGATAGTTTTTTTCAATGTCTATTTCCACATCAATTCCAAATTTATAGGAACGAATATACACTGTTTTTCATATTTAAATATTGTTATTTTGTAAACTATAAAAGTGAGATGTAAAATAGTAATTTCCTTACTTTGTTTTGATGAAGTATAAGGAATAAATTTAACAATTCTACAATAGTTCTACTTTCTTATGGAGAGTGACACTTGTTTAACATTGTTTAGGAAGCATGTTTACCGTGAAGGAAGGCTTCAGATAAAATGGGGTTATGTGATAGTATTGATCTTCTCATTATTTAATATAATTAGTAGACGTTAATAAATTACCATTATCGTTAACAAAATTGGATAGATGTATTTTTAACTCGATAAATGGTAAAATTAATTAAATATTTCTAGTCTTTATTTGTTTTCATTTAGTACATCTTAAACTAACGACCTCAGGCGGATTTTTTAGAACTATGCACAAGGGAAATATCTATAATAACTCATCCACTGTAGGGGGAAGGGGGTAATAAAAAAGCTAGGCTACACCAAGTTTCTATTTATAGTGTTGCTTATTTGGAATTTTTTATAGAACATAAATGATAATATATGGTATATTTTAGCATTGTCGGAAGCAGAATGTGAAAGATGGTTAAAAGGACTAAGGTATTTGGTTGAAGACACTATTAAAGCTCCATATCCCTTACAAATACAAAGTTGGTTAAGAAGGGAGTTTTATTCCATGGAAGGGTCTAGAGACAGGTAAAACATAAAAGTATATAATAAGAGCTGTCTCTCATCCCGACACAAGCTGTACTTTCAGGGGTTCACTTATTATTTTTATGAAAGTAATAAAGTCTGGTCAATTTGCTTTTAACAGAGACATTCAACAAAAAAATAGACATATACAGGGTGTCCAGAAACGCTCTTCAAAGAATGAAACCACGAAATCTAGAGTTGATTTTATGACGATTTAGCCTAAATTACTTTAATCCAAAAATGCTTCCTGATGGAGCTAGAGCTCTTTGAAGATAGTGCTCTAAAATCGGTTTAATTGAAATACCTTCAAAATGGATTTTTATTAAATGATATTATTCTGTACATTTATTTATTTATTTGAATCTAACCAATCAAATTTCGTAAATTAGATTTTTTTAATGTCATAAAAGGCTTGTTTGGGTGGGGTATTGGATATTTTTATTTATTTATTGTTTTCTTTTAAAAATTCGCTATTTTGAAATCATATTTAAAAAGTTTCGTTATTTTCACACAAAAATGATGCTCTTATCTGAAGTCTCCATGACCATCCGTTTTCGAGAAAAATCGATTTAAACTTTTCATGTTTCCATTGACTAACAAATAAATTATGATAAGATGGCTGTGGAAAATAAATGAAATAACAATTACATAAATGTCAAATGACTGGTGTTTCATACCGTAAGTTTTGTGTTACTTTTTGTTTAGAATTATCTTGATTTCTAAAATATTAAAAGTTAAAGATGGTTCGGTTTAGTAATGAAGAATATAGTGAAATGCAATGTAGGTAGCGTCACGTAGGTATGCCGAGAAATTTCCAAATAGGAGACATCCTGCTTTAAAAACATTCAAAGTTCTTCATCAAAGACTTAGGAAAACAGGATCTGTAATTCCCAGTAACAGCAAAACTGGTAGACATGCTGACGTATTCGAGGAATATGAGAATGAAATTTTAATGGAAATCGAGGAAAACCCTGAAATTAGCATAAGAAGATTAGCTGCAATGTTTCTAAATCATCTGTGTGGAACATTGTCCATCGGGAAAACTTGTACCCATTTCATTTTAGAAAAGTTCAGGCTCTTAATGATGGTGATTTTCCTGCCCGTGTGGCCTTTTCTATTTGGTTACGAATCATCACTTCTTTTTAAACATTTTGTTTTTTGATGAAGCTATTTCCACAAGAGATGGAATTTTTAATATGCAGAATGCACATTACTACTCTTATGTTGGTGATAAACCTCATGTTATAAAAGAATCTAAACGTCAAGAAAGATTTAGCATCAATGTATGGATAGGTGTCCTTGGTGAAAATCTGCTTGGCCCTGTAGAATTGCCCAATCGTTTAAATGGTGAGAATTATCTCGACTTTTTACAAAATACTTTACCAGATTTATTGGATGACATTAATTTAAATATTCGACAGAACTTGTGGTATTTACATGATGGTTGTCCAGCTCACTTTAGGAGAAATGTTCGCAAGTTTTTAGACAATAATTACCGAGACCGATGGATAGGAAGAAGGAAGAGGCGGCCCCGTTGCTTGGCCAGCGAAGTCTCCGGATTTAAATCCATGCGATTTTTCTGTATCGGAATATCTCAAATCAATGAATTATTCGCACCCAATTGAATCACGGAATCACCTTTGGAGACGAATTCAGAATGCTTGCGACGAAATTAGAAATAATATGGCAATTTTTGCAAGAATTCGGCGATCTTTACGGAAACGAATAAATTTGTGCATAGAAACGGATAGCCGTCATGTGGAGCATCTAATTTTGTATTTAATACTTTCAGTTATCATTTCGTTATTTTTTTTAACAAATTGTATCAACAGAAACATTAATTTTTACATGAATTTATTTTTTTACTTTTTGAGTACCTACCTAAAGTTTGGGTAAAAACAGTTTAATATGTATTTATACAATTCTTAGGTATTTTGTTTATTTTCCATGGTCGCCTTATCATAATATTGAAATTTATTTGTTAATCAAGTGAAAACGTATGTAAAGACATGAAAAGTTTAAGTCGATTTTTTTCGAAAACGGTTGGTCATGGAGACTTCAGATAAGAGCACCATTTTTGTGTGAAAATTATTTTTTTTTTAAATTCATTTCAAAATGGCGACTTTTCGAGAGACAAAAAAAATTGAATAAAAATATCCAATACCCCACCCAAATGAGCAGCTTATGACTACATTAAAAAAATCTTATTTACGAAATTTGATTGGTTAGATTCAAATAAATGTACAGAATAATATCATTTAATAAAAATCCGTTTTAATAGTATTTCAATTAAACCGATTTTAGAGTGCTATCTTCAAAGAGCTCTAGCATTTTTGGATTAAGGTAATTTAGGCTAAATCGTCATAAAATCAGCTCTAGATTTCGTGATTTCATCTTTGAAGAGCGTTTCTGGACACCCTATATAATAAGAGTATTTATAAGAAATAAAACTCAATTAAATTTTTATATTTTAGTATAACATTAAAAGATCTGAAATCGTTCTTCCCAAAGAAAATGCCAAACAATAAATTACGGGAATATTTCAATGAGACTGATACTAGAAAAAGAGGTGAAATTGGCTTTGATGATTTCGCTAATTTGTATCAAAAAATTATTTTTGAAGAAGGGGTATGTATCGTTTGTGTTAGTTATCGATGGCGAAGCCAGAAAAGCGTGTAACTCCACATTTTAATGATTTTAAGATTTTAGTGTTATCTGTAGATGTTGTTAATAATTTTAAAAACTTTAAGAAAAACTGTTATATTGTACTAAGTGGTTCAAAAAAGAATGCATGACAATTATTGTATATCAAGGGCAGATAACAATTCAAAGCAAATTGACATTTGCTAAACTTTGTAAGAAACAAATCAAAACAAAAAACTGTGAAAGTCCTTGCCGGTTCTGCCAATTATTGATTTGTTAATATTTCATTTCCAGTTCCCTTACTCATAATTTTTTTCTTTCTCCAGTTAAAAGAAAAAAGGTTTTTAATGTTGCCAGAACACTTAAAAATTTGCCATGTTCAGATATTCATGAGATTAACGCTAAATTTATAAAAAAAAAGTATTATAATTATATTAGACCCTCTGACAAATTTAATAGGTAACATTTGTCTTACTGGTAATTTCCTAGATATGTTTAAATGTACATAAGTCATTCTTCTACATTAAAAAGACGAAGAATCAGTCAATGATAACTACCGTTCAATTTTAATTACATTTTCCAAAATTGGTTGAAAAACTTCCAACAATATTTTGTCAATTACTGATGCTGCAATGTGTACCGTTGATTACATGGTTGAGGACCTTGAATAAGGAAAGTTTATAAGAGTTTCTTTGTGAAAATTGTCAAAGGCTTTTAACTCTGTGTCACATGATGTCTTTCTTTTAAAAATGAGTTACTATGGGGTTAGAGGAACTGTGTTGCATCTTTTTAAATCATATCTCAGCAATCAGTTTAAAATTGTATTTTATAATAATAGCCAGTCGGATTTAAACCCTGTAAGTACAGAAGTTCTGCAAGGATCAATTCTGGGCTCATTACTTTTTATCTCATACATAAATGATTTATGCAGTTTAATGAACCTCATCACAGTATATTATTTACTGATATACTCCTTATGGTTTTGATGGAATCTATTACAATCATTCAATCATATCTCTCTAATTGTATACTCTTTGTTGAACACAGAGGACGCCAGTCATTTTTAGCAATTCAAGTAGTAATTTAGCTTCACCACTGTTCTGTTTTTAAATGATTTATCCAATATAATTAAAAGCAAAAAGGACCTCTTTGCAGATGATTGTAAATTTTACAAAGCTACAGAAACAATGTTAGACTGCAATGTTTTGCAAGACTTGACAACGCTGTACAACTGGTGCGTCCCACCATTTATTATACAGGCGTCTCCACCAATTTCTCGAATTTACTTCTATAAAGGCTGGGTTCTAGTGCATTCCGGAATGAATGATATGTAGGAACACTTGTAAACATAACATTATGACTGTGTGGTTTATGTATATCAGTCTTATTGAAATTCAAAAAAGAGCTTCCCCATTTCACACTAAAAATGCTAACTTAATTCGACAACCTACTTAGATATAGGTTATTAAAAATACAAAAAATTCATTAGTCTATACAATATGTTTGCCTTTCAATCCTGACTCCATGATAACGCTACACAAAAACAATGCTATTGAATAGAGAGAAATAGAATAATTCGTCGCCGAGTGCATACTGCAATATCCCATGCTTGCCATCGAAAGGGTATGGTTATACCAATTTCTCTATGCCACTCATGGCCAAATATAAAGAAGCATCTCATCTTTATTTTGCCTGATGCGTCGGTTAACTTACTGTATATGCACTTTCTAGTATTTTAAAGTAGATAAACTTATTTTGTTTAAAAAAAAAATATTGAAAACAGTTCTTACTATATTTCTGAATTTTTAAATCATGTTCATTTCCATTAATGTGCATGTTCTTCTCATTCATGATTCCCTCAAAATATTAAGTTTATAGGTCTTGCGAATTTCTAATATTTTAATCCATTGTATTAAAACGTATAGGTATCTGTTATTTATACATGGACACCGTTTTTGATTGTTTGTAACTTTCATCAATATACAGTGCGTCCATAAAGTAACGCATAAATTCATTATTGGCTAAATGAACAATAAAATTAGGAATATCCAAAACAGGTCGATTTTTGATTTCAATTTACTATTGTTTCAAATCATAATATAATATACAGGGTGAACCACTTTCGTGTAATGACGTCATCACCATTTTTTTCAAATGGAACCCCCCCTTTTTTTTCAATTTTCCAAATTGCCTTTGCTGAGCTGATTCCAAAAATGTATAATATGTTGCTTCAAATTGGTACAGGGTGGGCAAAAATGCAAAAAAAAAATATGAAAATTGTTTATGGAAAGTAATACGTTACTGAATGTAATAAACAAATTAAATGGAATTATGTAGTTATGCAATTAATGTGATACACTTCCAAAAACAAACAAACGAACGAAAATTTACAATAAATGTTCAAATTGTTCTCCATTGACCGTTAGACAATGACTGAACCGGGCATTACTTTCGTCTCTAACATTCTGTAGCATAGCGGGTGTTATGCTCTGTATTTCTTGTCTGATTCGGTCTTGTAGTTGAGGGATATTTCCAGGTCTGTTGAAGTAGACTTTAGATTTTAAATAACCCCATAAAAAGAAGTCTAATGGGTTCAGATCAGGTGATCTAGCAGGCCATTCCACTGGTCCCCTTCTTCCTATCCACCTTTGTGGAAAAGTTGTGTTTAAAAAATTGCGCACAGCTACTGCGTAATGTGGCGGTGCGCCATCCTGTTGAAACCAGATTCTGCGGTCTACATTAGTGGGTATTTGAATATCAGGAAAAAGCTGGATCAGATCAGGAATTAATGTATTTTGTAGGAAATCCAGATATAATGCTCCTGTTAAGTTTTCATCGAAAAAATATGGACCAATAATTGTATTTCTCACAATACCAGCCCATACGTTAGTTTTTTGTGGTCTTTGCGTATGGTACTCTTGCATCCAGTGTGGATTTTCATCAGACCAATAACGGGTGTTTTGCCGGTTAACATGACCGTTCAAATAAAACGTTGCCCTCGTCCGAAAATAAAACGTTATCAATGAAATTGTTATTTTGGTTCATCATATACTCGCAGAATTCAGTTCTTCGGTCAAAGTCGTCTTCAGCCAATTCATGGATGAGACGTACTTTATAAGGATGGTATTTTACCTTTTTGAAAATGTTTGATACTGAAGACTTTCCATTACCAAAATCCCTAGATAATCCTCGCACTGTACAGTGTGGATTTTCTACAGCCGACAAAATTATGTCTTGTTGAATATTTTCATCAATATTTGGTCTACCTTGCCTTGCTGCATCCCTCACATGTCCTAATTCTCTGTATTTTCGCTCTATTCTACTTACCGTAGATTGTGAAATAGGTTCACGATCTGGGTGCATTTCATGGAATAATCGGCATACCTCTTGTTGAGTCCACATCTTATCGCCAATACCAATCATCATTAATATTTCAATCCTGTCACTTTCGGTTAAAGGCATTTTGTAAAAAAAGTTCACGAACGTACCTTTTCTACAGCGTTAAGAGGAAAATTTACATTACAAACTGAAAGACCTGCGGGGCAACGGTAGTTTAGTAGGTATAAAAATTACAACTTAAGGGTGGAGCCTAAATACTACAAAATTACTTCCGAGCCTAAACAAAATCCGCATTCATTCATAATTTTAACAATTGCTTGTAGATACGAGGGATACGTATTCCAAACTGTAACGCGCGAAGTTGAGGACAAAGGAACCGAAAAATCCTACTACGATATATTTATACAATGAGTGAGTCAGAGTTACCTAAATTAGGGGAACCAGAATCGTATTTGTTTTTCTCGGTGCATTGCGAGATATTGTTATAACGCAGTTCGACTTTTTAGAGGGTTTTACATTATTTTTATATTTTAATTTAGTGAATAGGTTTAGTTAGATTCAATTAGATTTAGAATTAGAGTATAGAGTTGTGAAAGATAAATACAAATAACGAAAAAATAGACGATTGGTTCGAATAAGGTAATATCAATTAATACAGGGTATTTATTAATTGAGTGCAGATACTTAAGGGTGTAAATCGCTGGGTGTTAAAGTTTTAAGGAAAAAATAACTATTTTATCATAAGTTTCTTATCACTCTAGATATTTTTGTGAAATTTTGCCCAAAAAAAAGTGTTTCCACTCATGGTGGGTTCCTACCAAATTTCGATAAAATATCAAAAGCAGTTTCAATAAACTGGTTTTTATTTTCTTACGCGAAAAGGGTGCGTCGTACGAAAGTACGTCTATAAACCAAATTTGCTCCAAAATAAATAAGGATTTTAAAGACAATTTTGGTTTCTAGAAAAAGCAGTGGCGTACCTTATTTTTGTTCAAAAATATTCAGTTCAAACCCAGTACGGACGTCACTGGTAAAAAATTTAGAAGTCTGTTGGTACATAATATACTATATTTATATATCTAATTTTTATTATTACTCTGAATGAGACATGGCTTTTTTATTTGCCTTTTTTGGATTAACAAAATATTATTTTAATGATTTAAAATAAACTGCCAGTAATTATCTGTATTAATCATAATTATCTGTACTTAAACAAATACAAAGTTAAATCATAAAACGACGCATCAAGAAAGCACCAAATTATTAAACTTTTAATTTATGTAACAAGGTATCAAAAGAATTTTTAAAAAACCGACTTTAAAATGGTGCAGATGCCATCACTACATCTTAACCAAATTTATATGGGACCACCCCTGAGTTACCCCCTTACTAACGAAAAGAATTATAGAAATTGGACAAGGTGGTAAAGAATTATCGCTAAACATAAAAAATGAAAAGTTTGAGGATTTTCTCATTGACCAAATTTATATGGGACCATCCCGAAAGTACCCTATTTCTAGCAAAAAAAGAATCATTTAAATCGGACATTGTGTTAAAGAATTATCGCTAAACATACATAAAAAAATATATACAGAAGAATTGAGAACCTCCTCCTTTTTGAAATAGGTTAAAAAGGATATAATAATCTGTATTAATTGTATTAACTAAAAAACTACTATGTGGAGTTATATGTATATATCTTCTTAAATTAATCGTATATGTAAAAATGTGGGTTCGGTTCCTAGAAGAGTACCTAGTTCACTGTGCAGCCAAATTTATATTTATGATACAGAATTTTTTGAATAAATAAAGTTTTAGGTTTAATTATTAAACACCAAGTTTTATCAGGAATAACATTTTCTGTAAAAAGTAACACATAAAAAGCAGATTTTTTGCGAGCCACTTTATATATTTTAGAGGTCAATCCATATTATTTTAGAAAAATAAATAAAATTTTTGTATAATCACATAAATATGATTTATCTTTTAGAATATTTTATATGTTTGTCAAAGTTTAGCATTTTTTGTAAAAAAAGAAATATTCTTCAAAATTTTTCTTAAATTTTTTAACACGGTACAAATACCTTAATCTGTTTATAGTTATCGATTTTAAACAAGACGGAGACCAGACATCGTCAAAAAGAAACAGCAAAATTAGTAAAGAATTTTAACTTGATTAAAAAGCGTTCTTTCTCTTTCCATTTCCTATAAAAACTAATAGACCTTTTTGAAATCGGTATTCGGTGACTTTTCTTCTGTTTTATTGTCTTGAAAATGATATGATTTACATAAAAAACAAAAACTGACTTATTATTTTTGTGAAATAAAAATATGGTATTTTCGCAATTTTCGTCTACTCTTTGTTTCCAAAAAAGAAATACGATATTCTTCTGTAGATATTAACACATTCTTTAATTGGCTTTTTATTTTTAAATATTCTTTAGTATTTTCATAATTTGGGAAACAGTATAGCATTGAAACTTCTATACCTGAAAAATTGTGAGTACACTTTTAATTAATTGTCTGTTTTTTATCTCACAATGTCTCGATAAGAAGTTATATAAAAAAAGTTAATATTCAATATCATCCAGACAAAAAACAAAAACATGTTTAAAGGAATATATTAAATAAATTATGAGTATTCTTAAACAGAGATATATTTATTTGTATTATAGAAATAATGTTTATGTCAACAAACTTATGTTCGATATTTGTATCAATTTGTAAAGATAACTCTTGTATAATGATAATATTAAATTTAAAGGTTTTAAATAAGGATTTGCAGATATCACAGTTCGAAATTCTTTTTTTGACCATAATACTTTTTTTGAAATGAAAGCATTAGTTCCTGTTTTTTAGTTAAGCTCCATAAATCAATTCATATTTTAATATGAACGCTACTTAAGCGCAGTAAAGTTGCAAAAACTAAACAATATAGTGAACTTTTCGAAAATTTCTAAGTTAAAATGAAAATCAATTTATATTTAAAATTAAATAAGTTAACTAAAATTTTTGACCGTTATGAAGTTAATAAAGTTATAAATAACGTCGTTACAAAGATTCATGTGTGAATTTTCAATTTCTATTGATGATAGTTACTCATCTACGTATTACAATATCAATACATGACTTGGATTTGACACAAAACTTTTAATCCGAATCAAAATCTTGAAACTATTATTTGGGGACATAAAAGCATGGCCCACTAGTTGGTGTAGCCTTTTAAAACATTTGGTAAAATCCTAAATTTAAAATAGTGTACTATAATAATAAGACATTAATCATATCTTAAATGGATCGCCTACTACCATGTTTTAGAAATAAATAAAATGTAATTCTTAAATTAATAAGAATATTCAAAATAATTTAAGATTCCTTGCGTTATGTTAATAAACATTAAACAAAATTTATCACGAATTATTTAGTATTTTGTCCCTTACTTCCATGTCTCTATTAGCTTCGCTGTCAAGTTCCGACAAGGCATATTGCATATAAAAAATTTTAATTTTATTTTGTATCTTTTCTTCCCAAAAGCTGTCATTATGAGATATTTTCTCCACTTTTATTCCTCCAGAAGTCCAAAAGCACAAAATGCAAAAATCCATTTGTGTTATGTGCAGCTAGCCCTGAATTTGAAAATACCAATAGTGGTTCTCCTTAATGGTATTGTCCTTTTTCCAAAAAGTTATTTCTCTACTGCATATTTCTTCTTCTACAGTCAGTACTTCAGCTCCATATGGACATTTTAACTCTATCATAGAGACTGGCAGCAACATAATCAAATTCAATAAAATGTCCACATTTAAAAACTTTTACTTGCAAATAAATTTCCAAATATTATTTTGCTCTGAATTTATGGTCCATGCCATATCGGATGGCCTTAGAAATAAATAAAAGATTTTAAGGAGATTTTTTACAAATTTTTCCAAATTTTAAAGCAGTGACTCATTTCCGTTTTTTGTGCCACAATGCACAATCAGCATGTCACAATCGTTTTTTTCTCATTAATAGACATTGGCTAACTTTTTAGAAAATTTTCTCTTGCAACGCGCCTCAAAGGGTGCGACAGATCAAAGCCATGCGCGAAAGCAAGATAAAATATTTTCATTACTTTAACGGATTGAAAAGATATTAACATGCTGGAATTAATAATTATTGTTGACTCGAAGAGGTATTCATTAAACAAAAACATATTTATAATTCACATCTCAGTGCAATTTCGGATATATATATATTTTTTTAATAAATAAATGATAAAATGAATTTAATATAATTGAGCGAAATTACTGTATGTAAAAAATAACAACATGAATTCAAATCACTTACGTACTGTTTATCACTAAATAGTAGAAAAAGATATATATTTTGTTGCTGTCACCATCTAGACGAAAAAGCTTTTAACGTATTTCTATTTTTATTGTAATAAAAATAAATGCTCCTGTAGACAAAAATTAAATATATTGTTCTCTTCTAGAATTTTTTAACAGTTTTATTTCTTTTCGTTTCTTTTCTTAGATTTTTTCAAAAGAGACTGATTCATATTTTTAAAGTGACTCCAGAGAGGTGGGCTAAGCTTTTACCTGTACTTACATAAAATTTCTTAGTAAAATTAAAAAATAATCCGTAAAATTGGTGTACTATGAAACCCTTGCATATAATATATGTACCAATCTTAGTATTACAGAAATAAATTACGCAAAAAATAAGGTGTACAAATACGTAAAATTTATTCATCCCTCGTAAAACATCAGTAAAATATATTATAAATTGTTTTCATTCACAAATATTAATTTCTTAAAATTCTAACAGAGGCGCCACTTTCCAGACGAAAAATCTTGCAATGTAAGGGTTTCGTAGTACCCCACTTTTAAAGTTTATTTTTTACTATTTTTAAAAGAAAAAAATATGTACGTGTAGGTAAAGGTTAAATCTATGCTCCTCTGGAATCACTTTTTCAAAATTCAATTTTGTTTTTTCTAAAAAAAATTGAGAAAATGAGTAAAAAAAGTCGAGTTTTGTATTTTTTTTTAGAAAAAACAGTTTCAAATTTTAAAAAAAGTGTCTCCAGAGGAGCATAGATTTATCCTTTACCTACACGTATATATTTTTTTCTTTCAGAATAAGTCAAAAATAAACTTTAAAAGTGGGGTACTACGAAACCCTTGCATGCTACGCTCTACAGCCAAGTAAATACTCCTCTTAACAATACGAAACTGTGCTTCAATGTTTTTGACAGTGTTGTCAAATAAAAAAAACTGGTATGTCAAATAAAAAAAACTTGTAAAAGATAATGCCAAACAAAAAGATTTTTATAGTCCAGGGGCTTGGATCACTAATAAAAGCTGTAAGATACAATTATTAAGAATAATGCTGTATGTTCTTGATAGTTTATCAAAGTAGTTGTAATAACAATACGTAATTTCATTTAATGTGTTTATTACGTTTATTCGTTATTTTCATTACTTTGTAAGTAAATTTTTGCATTTTTGCCCACCCTGTACCAATTTGAAGCAACATATTATACATTTTTGGAATCAGCTCAGCAAAGGCAATTTGGAAATTGAAAAAAAAGGGGGGGTTCCATTTGAAAAAAATGGTGATGACGTCATTACACGAAAGTGGTTCACCCTGTATATTAGATTATGATTTGAAACAATAGTAAATTGAAATCAAAAATCGACCTGTTTTGGGAATTCCTAATTTTATTGTTCATTTAGCCAATAATGAATTTATGCGTTACTTTATGGACGCACTGTAGTTAAATAAGGTATTATTTAGCTAGTTGACATACTATCACTGTAATTGTTCCAAATTGGAAAATAAACTATGTAGCTCCATACAGCTGACATTTGTAAACGTAAAAAGTGTATTTCCACAAGTTTTCCCAGTTAATTCATAACAACCTGGCCATAAAACACTCAGACTTGGTAAAAAAAATAGTTTTTGCCTCCTGTAAAATTTCTAAAAATAGAGTTGCACACTTTTCGAGTTTCGCCGTCGTTATATTTTTTTGTAAAATTTAAACTAGATACAAGGTATATCTGGAAAGTGGGAGGTGCTCTGCAGAAAGGGGAACATTTAAAAAGGTGACATCCTCGCTATGGTAAAAAATTAACTTTTTCTGTTGTCACTTTCCAGATAAATCTTGTAAATACATGAGAATCGTTTTATACGTTGAATTTTTTTTATACAGAAAGCCCATGAACTATTTGACAAAATATCCGAGTATTTATCAACCCACAAAACCATAAACTTGCCGGAAATGGTAAGTTTCCTTATAAATGAACAAGTCGACTCACTAGGTAATGATGACAGAGCTGTATCTCAATTTGTTTGCGATTTTTTGAAAGATCCACAAAGAGAAGTTCAAGAACCATTTTTGACCATTCCTGAATTTTTGGACTTTCTGTTTTCCAAACAGAATGATCTTTGGGATCCGAAAAAAGATATTATTTATCACGATATGTCAAAGCCTTTGTCACATTATTGGATCTCTTCTTCACATAATACGTAAGTGTTTTTAAGATTAACAATAATTATTCATTTGAAAGTATAATATCTGACATATTGAAGAATTTATAGAGTTATTAATTTATTTTAGTTATTTAACTGGCGACCAGTGGTCCAGTGAATCTTCTGTTGAAGCATATGTCAGATGTTTACGGATGGGATGTAGATGTATCGAATTAGACTGCTGGGATGGCCCAGATGGTTACCCTTTCATCTATCATGGTCATACTCTTACAACTAAAATCAAATTCATGGATGTTATTAAAACAATCAAAGAACACGCATTCGCCACTTCTGAATTTCCTGTAATTTTGTCAATTGAGGACAATTGTACTCTACCTCAGCAGAAGAAAATGGCGTCAGCGATGCAAGTAAGAGTCTTTGATTTCAATGTTTTTAATAACAATATTAATAATAATTCATAATTTTGTGCTAAAACCTCATTATTAATCTCTTTTAGTTTTTCACTTTTTTAACACAAATTAAAAAAAAAAACAATTGACCAAGTTTAGTTTCTATTATTATATATATATATATATATATATATATATATATATATATATATATATATATTTTTTTTTTTTGTTATTTTTGTAGGAAGTATTTGGTGATATGTTACTTTCTCAACCTGTTGAAAGCTGCGAAACAAAGCTTCCATCTCCTAGCGCACTCCGCAAAAAAATCATCCTCAAACACAAGAAACTTCCAGATGGACAAGACGAAAGTTCATTTTTAATCAGGAACGACGCAACCGACATGGATCTCAGAAATTCAATCATAAATGGAATTATGTATCTTGAAGATCGCGTAGACAAGGAATGGAATCCACACTTTTTTGTATTAACTCAAACCAAACTTTTCTATTTTGATAGATATAAATTAAACCAGGAATCTGAAAAGTCTGAAGACGAAGATGACAGTGGTTCATTTCAAAGGCCAAAAAATAATGTTTCTAATGAAGAATTACATTCTAGTGAGAAATGGTTCCATGGAAGACTTCCAAAGGGTAGGGAGGAAGCTGAACAGTTGCTGAGGGCTTACTCCCATTTAGGTAAATACAATATTTTATGGGTGATTAACGTGACAAAATAAAGCAAGAAAAGCATTATGCACGATTTTTTAAAAAGGATCCACCCTGGAATATCTCAATATAGAACTGTCATAAAAATCTCAAAACATGTCAATTTCTATTTAGAAGGAACAAACCAAACATTGTTGTTTTCTTCTCGTAGTGGGTACCCAAGTAGCACATGACGGGTTTATAAAATCTGTAAGAATATTCTTAAAGCAAATATGTTTATAAGAGAATAATATTTATAATTTTACTTGTTGATATTCTTACACAAGAACACAAAAATATTCCTGCCGCTGGTTTAATAGGTTCAATTTGAAACATTTCATTATTTCTATTTTAACACGTTATTGGCTTGTTGATGTTTGAGTTAACAAAATGGACATCTCAAGCTGGAAAACTGGTATACAGGTCCCTCCCGTTTCTTTGCGGAGCCCCTATAACAAAATTCTCTAAATCATATACGCCTTCCTCTTCTTGACTTCTAAAAAAAAAGGCCCTCACATGAAAATCACATTATATACGCCTTCCTCTTCCTGACTTCTACCAAAATCCTACCTGACATACCAAAATACCAAACTCATATACGCCAAGTCCCGTTGTAGGTACTGCTTTTTTTATTATTTTCTTCGCGGAGCCCCCACAAAGGCTTTGTGGAGCCCCGCTCCGCGGACCACGCTTTGAGTAACGCTACTCTAGAGGAATAAACCACGACGAATCAAATACAAAATAACTTAGACGCATTTTGCCAAATTATAAAGTTGATAAAAATATAGTACCAGGATAGTTGGAATTTCCATGTGTTCATTTGCATTTTTATAATTTTTTAACACTTTTCTTCGAAATGCGCCGCTTTTTTTAACTTTTTTCCAGCTTGAAATGTCCATTTTGTTAACTCAAACATCAACAAGCCAATAACGTGTTAAAATAGAAATAATGAAATGTTTCAAATTGAATCTTATTTAAAGGATACTTTGTAATTGCTGTTTGCTCCCTTAAATATAGTTCTTTGTAGCACAAATTGCCTTAACAAGAAAATGAGGTGACTTCCCTTATAAGTGTTGGATATATAATGTATCTTATTGTTATATCAAACAGCATGCTTTATAAATTTACACGTTTTTATATTTATACTTACCAGTAAAATGTTACTAAAGACAAATATAAAACCGTTATAAATCAAAAAGCCTTAAAAAAGATATTTGTTATAGATACGACTTATAGCTGTTCTTAAGAAATACTGAGTATCTCTTATAAGAAAAATTTATAACATATAAATATGCTGTAAGAATATTTATATAACAATATTATAGTGCTATTTTGTTTTCAAAAACTAAATTGCATCATTTGGTATATTTATTAGTCAATATTGAATTTCTGAAACAACTATAAAACCTTTATAGGAATTGAATGTTCTATAATTCAAAGGTTATAAGAGAAGTGTGTTTGTTGGGTAGATAATTTCAGTGGTTTGTATTTTTGTTCTAGTTGTCTTATTTGACTTTGTTATACGTTTTTAAATTTGCTGAATCTGCTTTCACAAATTCAGGATTCATGTTCAACACTTAAAAATATTCATAAATAAAAATTTATACAGATTTGTATGGATTAAAAAATAAAAAAAAAATTGTCAATATTTCACTAAAGCAATGAGACTTTCAACTTCTGTTTGAATTATTATTAGTTTTTCCTCTTTTTCAGTCCATCTGGGGACATACATGTATAAATATGATTCATTCTTCATCGAAGATATACAGGGTGATATCAACTCTGACATTTTTTTTTACTATTATTGACGGATTACAGTATAGGAACAAAACATTTTAACATTTGAAAACCTGACTTTTATTCTCAATTTAACTAGCTAGTAATTTATTTCAAGAGATATTTTGTGTTTCTTTTGTCATATTTATATTTTTATATATTTCCCTTTCATATGGGAATTCCCCATGCACAACTACAATTTTCATACATTAAAAAAATATATATTTTTTTAGGCGAAGGAACTTTTCTTGTGAGAGACAGCGTAACATTTGTGGGTGAATTTTGCCTGTCATTTTGGAGAAACGGGCAAGTAAATCACTGCAGAATTAAATCGAAACAAGATCGCCAACAAACCAAGTATTACCTTATAGAAGCCAAGTATTTTGATAGTTTGTACAGTCTGATCACTTATTATCGCACTTCACCTCTAGTCACAGCGGAATTTTCGATTACTTTACAAGAACCGGTACCGCAGCCTAATTTACACGAAAACAAAGAGTGGTACCACAAAAATACGGGGAAAAATCAGGCCGAAGAAATCTTGAGGAGAGAAAAATTAGAGGGGGCTTTTCTAGTCAGACCAAGCGAGAATGATTCTAGTTGTTATACTATTAGTTTTAGGTAAGTTATTGACTAGCTGTTTTTACAATTTGCAAAACAGGATATTTTTGTAGCTTTGATAAGTATTAATAGCCCAATTCAAAACGCATCTTTTTATGGCATTTTCAACTGGTTTACGCTTACTTTCCACTAGTAAAGAGCTATTTTTATTGCTCAGCACTGGTTAGTAGTAACGTCAAAAAAAACTGGTTTCAACACACAGTTAGTCATTAGTACATTATGGTTTGACATCCGACATCTGAGACCACCATACTTTCAAATATTAAAATTGATACGGAAACTCATGAAGTTTATTTAAAAATGTATTGAACACAACAGTTAATTACAAATTATTTTATTACAAATTTTTTTCTTGTTAGTATCATAGAAAACAGCCAAATACTTTTATAAATAAAAAAAATTGAAAATAATTTATGCATTAAATTAAAATGCATATTTGTAATATATCTGTAAAATATTAAAATTGTCCGCCTTTTGAAAAATTTCCTCCTGTCCCGTAAGCTCCGAAAATTTCTATAAATTTTGGAGCATTGACAGATATGCATTACACATTCCTGAAATTATCCCGTTGTCTATTATTTTGGTAACCTAGTATATACCGAACGCCACTCTATTGTCGCGTTTTGTTACTCAAACTTTTGCCACTGGTGTGAGAAGTATGGACAGAATCGTTGTGTTTATTGGATTCATTGATTCATTCTGTTCGAACTTTTCATTAGATGAAAGTGGGTATATTTTTTGGTTTAAGACGGAATTTGCACGCCAGGAAATTCATAACAAAAACTACAAATTAACTAAGTTGTCAATAGATGGCGATTAGATGCACTTCTGCGAAATAATTCAAATGTTGAATTATACCTGCCTGTTTGCCAAGTTGTGTAAACTACTTTCCGGCGACCCGACAAGCGTCCCCTCCCTCCGAAATCTAAAGTGCTCGTAACATTTTATTGTACCGCCGGACGAGACGAACACTACATTACATTAGAATATCGAACCTATAGGGACCGTATTTAAATAATTTTGTCCACGACCACTTAATAATAAATCAATATTCTACCTCCTAACTAAAAACATATAGTACCCATATATCACGGAGTGAATTATGATAATTCACGCTTTTGTAATTCTGGCACATTCCGGTAGATAACTAAAGATAGGCGATACTTTTCATAACGATATTTTCTAGATCGAAAAATCAAAAAATCGATAAATCGAAAATTGTAGAAAATATTATTTGAATTAACTTTTATTCAAAGAATTTTCTTCTACAACCGTAAATAACAAATATATTCCATAAAATATAAAAATGACCCCCTATAAAGTACCCCCAAGTGCCAACTGTGCTCAAAATCTAATCAGTTCACCGCAGGCCGGAATAAGACTTAATTTTAAAATTTGGTATTTTTCTGTTTATCCGTTCATGAGTTATCGAGTATACAGACACACACACAGACAGCATCGCGAAAATAGTCAAAACGGATTCAGGGGATCCCAAAATGTAAAAATCCTTCAAAAAATCGATGTCGAAAAAAATCATGATTACTATACTTTCCTTATCTGTATACAGATAGGAAAGTAAAAAAACATACAATGTAAACAAAAATACAGAAGAGATAATAATAATAATAAAATTTAAACTATGCTGCAATAATCAGTGTGATAAATTTATTGTATTTTCAATAAATATTTTAAGTACTTTTTCAGTTGATTTTAAGAATATAAATTGGCTTAAAAGTTTGCTCTTACTTTTAACTCTTCTCAACTAATTTGTGAACCCACAAATGCATTTGAAAGACCAGGATCGATGTTTTCACATGCATCTTGTTCCAAATTTCACATAAATCCAGCCAGAAAAAACAAAACTCAACATTATATTTAATATCTGACAAATTACGTTCTTATATTTTGTAATATAAAAATGAAACATTTTACAAAATCTCTACACGTTTTAAATGTTTCTCCAAAACCAGACTTAACACAATTTACCTAATTTTTGTAATAAAATAACGAACTTCCTTGCTTCCGATACTTCAAAACAATATGACAACGTTGCTCGATATAAATTTGATATTTTCAGGTGGCGTCATCTATATAAGATTGCCTGAACCTAAAATTACAGGGATTACACCTGTTTTATGTAATGTTGGTTGCGTTTTTTGGGTTAAAATTAAAAATTTTTGTGCATATAAGACTGGAAAATGAAAGCAAAAAATGAAATATTTCTTATGCGGATCCTCTAATGGGAATATATTCTAGTTCCTGAAATAGTTTTTATAGCGATTTATGATGACTTTTTTACATGTAAAATTTTCACAAATTCGTTATTTTCTTCATTCTCTCAATTTTTTTCCACTTTAAAATATATTCAGGAACTAGTTCAATACTATTAGAATATTATCAAAGCAAATCCGCATAAATTCATTGTCTAGAAAGCCCGTCTTATATGTTGAAAAATTCTCCTATGCTAATACATTTGCTAACGCCGCCTTAATATATACAAATAATTAGTTGACAGATACTAGTTTTGTCCTTCTGCAATTCTGTTCAAATTTTACTTACTGTAGAATGGGCGAATAAAATGCACTATTTTTATTTAATGTTAAAACACTACTAAATTACAAAGGTGTGGGTGATAAGCATAAGAATTTGGTCCACAATCACTCATTTAGATACCATTCATGGGTAGATATTCTTTTGTTTTACTTACTTTACACAAGGCTCACCGGCAGAGCTACTTTGGGTAAAGCTGTAGTAGTAACGATTCAGCTTCGAGAATATATATTTCATAGAGTTCTCATTCTATAGCGTTTGTTTGGGTTCTGAGGGAAAAGGCCTGCGGACAATATAATCAGTGTTGCATCATTTTTATGGGGTTTGCAATTAATATAAATAATAAATTAAATACATACCTTCAAACTACATTTTGTTAATTTGGCACATATTTTATAGACTTGCATTGTGTATTTAGTAATTGCCAATAATTATTATTTAAATCAAATAAAGATTTTTACTTTCCTGTAATCAGAAGAAAAGTATAAGCCTATAATTACATTAGGTACAGGAAAGTCAATGTGTTGGATACATCAGATTTTTTTAATACATCAGGATATGTATAAAGGAAAAGGGAAGGTTGAAATAATAGGCAATTTAAAAGGAATTAAAAAGCTAAATCCTTGATTTTGAAGAACAATACGTCGTGAAAATCACCGACGGAATTCGTTCGCGTAATTTGCCTTATTTTTAAATGTACTTTCAAATCCGTTCGTTTTTTAAATATATATGCGTCTAGTTCTAACGAAATACCCTGACTTTGTTCGTTGTTTACAAATACATTTGGTTTCAGCGTAATTCTGCTATAGTATCGCGCCAGTTCTTGTTTGTATGACAACAATAAAAATTACCAACAGCTGCAATTTTTCAATGAAGTGAAGGAGAACTTAATAGATCTGTTCCTTCTGTTTTATTTTTGCTTTTAAAAATGATCGGTTCTTCATTTTTCAATAGCTTCAGTAGCAACTCGTCTTTTTCATCTGCAAATTCTTACTTTAATAATGAATACTCCAGAAAATCCTTCATAGCCCAGCACAGATCGTATACTGATTTGCATATTGAAATTAATAATTTTCCTTAAATTAAATGGCCTTGTTTTTAAGAACATTCCATAGTGAAAATCGCCGATGATGTTAGTCGACGGAATGTGTTCGCGAAGTTCGTCTCAGCCGTGTTTTTCAACATTTCTGATCATCGTTTAATTCGATGGAAATTATACAATTCAATATGATAGATGGAGGATTTTCTGGAATATTTATTAGTAGATGAAGAATTTGCAGATGAAAAAGACAAGTTGCTGCTGGAATTATTGAAAAATGAAGAACAGGACATTTTTAAAACAAGACAAAAAAAGGAGTTTTGTCGGAAAATTGCAGCTTTTGGTAACTTTTTATGAGCATATTTAATCTACAGATAAACTCTAAAAAATTCGGAGCATAGCAATTTCTATTAGAAAGTCGACCAGTACAAATTTCAACCGATGAAGATTAGTTACGACATCTAAGAATAAATTGGGCCGCGGTAACGCTCTCCCACCATTAAAGATTTGCTTCTTGTCTAACCCCTGAACGGTCCGCTCATTTCACCTTCTGCTTCTAAGCGAAAATAGTAAATAGGTAAAACAAACACAGAGTGATTTTAGTATTGCATTGATAATGGTATAGTGTACTTAAAACTTGTCTGTAACGACAGAAATTATTACGTTTTATTGTGTTGATGCGAAAAATTATTTGTTAGCCTTTTTTTAAACAAATATTTTTTTTTTCCAAATTGTGTTTTGTGTTGTCTTTTTGCCGTAACGACGTTGAAAATAAAATAAAATTCCAAAAAATAAAAGAAATTTCTTAAAAAATAAAATAAAATTCCTAAAAAATATAACTTAATTCCAGAATAAACTTAACTTGAAAACTCCAAAAAAACATTCTAAAATTATTAATGAATTAAAGGCTCAAATAATCCCCCTTGTTGTGCCAAACAATAGCTGAACCTATTGTACAACGATAAACGTGTATCTCTTAATTGAGTTGGCGTAATGTTGGCACAATATTGAATTATTTTCGCTCTTAATTCATTTAAATTTGTTGCCCGTTCAAAACCGTGCCGGTAAATTTTTCCTTTTAAAAAGCCCCAAAGGAAAAAATCATTCAACGATAAGTCTGGTGATCTCGGAGGCCACTTGATTGTACCATTTGTTGCTATTAAACGATCAGGGAACATTGTGCGCAGAAATTCGATAACTGCCCGACTATTATGACTTGGACAGCCATTCTGTTGAAACCAAATATCTCCAAAATTAAGAGGGAGTTGCTGAAGTGCAGGAATAATTTGGGTTCGTAATAGTTGCAGATATTTGGTGCCTTTAGGTGGTTACCCTCAATAAAAAAAGGACCTATAAAATGGTCACCTAATATCCCTGACCAAACATTAAGTTTTTGTGGATATTGTGTCCGAACAGGAATAAATAGGTGTTTATTTTCCCGAGACCAATATCGAACGACAGATGAATTATGCTTGCTCTGAAGGGAAAACGTTGACTCATCCGTAAATAAAATATTATTTAATTTTTTTTTTGTTTTCCCATCATTTCTTCACAAAACTCTATTCGTTTGATACTGTCCTCGGGAAAAAGCTATTTAGTCGTTTAGACTTTATAGCAACGGTAACCATTCCTTTTCAAAATTTTTCTTACAGTATTTGGGTTCATGTCAACTTCTTCAGCAATTTCCCTGCTAGAACATGGTTGACTGGCTTCAACAATGGCACACACATTTGTTTCTTTATTAAGCCTTTGTTCACTAATCTGTCGAATACGTGGTTCATCGACATTGTTACATTTGTGACAATTTTGTACTCATCCACATTTCCGAAATTTTTGAATAATGACGAAGCTGGCCTATCCTCAAACGCAACAATAAATAAATTCACTATTTCTCTAGTCGAGTGACCTCCAAAATACCAACTTATATTTTGAATTTTTTCTTCCACTGTGTACATTTTATTTTAATTACAACAGTTACGGACTTAAAAACCTACGTAGTTTGCTGTGTAGGCCAACGTGTGAGTCTGAACGCGCGATTTGTGATCCGAGTTGCTGAGCGAACATCCCACCACCTTAGGTGGGGCAATACTTTAATGGTGGGATAGCGGTACTGATGCGGCCCAATTTACTCTTAGATGTCGTAACTCAGCTTCATCGGTTGACATTTGTACTGGTCGACTTGCTAATAGAAATTGCTATGCTCCGAATTTTTTAGAGTTTATCTGTATAATGTTTGCATTTCACAAATGTACAGTCAAGAACTGAAGAGAAATGATAGAATTTCGTTGAAACCAAATGTATTTAATAACAATCAACAACGCCGGCGCATTTTGTTCAAATTGAATGGATAACAGATTTTACAAAAACCAATTTTAAAATATTGTGAACTTCGCGAACGCATTAGTTGTACGAACTTCGTCGGCGATTTTCGCAACGAAATATTATTAAAAACCAAGCCTTTATATTTAAAAATCTAAAATATAAATGAATAGTAGGCATATTGTATGAATATTTATGATAGCTATTAACACATGTGTAATAATAGTGTAATAATTTATTGAATATAAAAATATTGTTCGTAAACAATGTCCAATAGATTGCTAAACAATATCCTAAAAATAGAAATCAAGTTAAATAATTAATTTACAAAAAATATATATCCAAAACTCATGAAGAAATAATACGGAAGTTGTTTGAAATACAAATTTAAGCACATCGTTGTCACGTGCTCTCCCTAAATTTACCTTTTATTTTAAATTCAAGTTTACGGCCTTATTATTTTTTGTCTGAAATGTGTTTCTTTAAAAAAAAATGGTAGAGGCGCTAATGGTTACTTGCTTGTGAAGATAACCTTGATGATGCATTTTCATATTTATATTTACTAACTACATAAACTTTCATCATTGTTTAAATTTGTATCAATATAGTTAAAAAATGCAAAAATATTTATAAAACATTATTAAAATCACCTATAAACAGCAAAAATAAGCGCAAGATTGATGAAAACCAAAACAAAATTACATTTCGGAAAATTTGACACATCGACAAATCGAGAACAATGATATTGCTGGACATTATTTTTTTCTCCTGTCTCAAAACAAAGTTAATTTAGACGATGGCTCTAGTAATATATGCTCGAAGCGATTCAGAGATAATGAAAAATTGTCCAATTATATTTTTTTCTTAAGTTGACGTTTACGTTTTTATCTTTAAGTACTTGCAGGTCTGTTGATATACAATGATGCTTTGTGAACACAAACTAATTTTTAGCCTACATTCCATAATAAGCAATATTTTTTCTTCTTTTACAGAGCTGATAAAAAAAGTAAACATTGTAGAATAAAATTGGAAGGAAGACTGTACACAATTGGCAATGTAGAATTTGAAAGTTTAGTTTCATTAATCAATTACTATGAAACTCATCCCTTGTACAGGCGGGTAAAGCTTAGTCATCCTATTAGCGAAGAAAAGGTTAGAAGAATGGTAATGGTAAGTCAGTATTTTTATTTATTATTATATAATTTTACATGTACATAGAAAAATTGCACAAACCGACCTTTTTTATTTCACTTAAAACTAATATACAAAAATAAGATTTTTAGTTTTTTATATTACATTAAATAACAATAGGCAAGATTATATGATACTTTACAACTTAATAGTAACTAATTCTAGTATTTTTTATGTGAAAATATATCCTGATTTAATCAATCCTAAACCAAAAATATAATTAAAAATATAACAGTAGTAAATTATAATTTTGTTTTATTTGTCAGAGAATATAATTCCTGTTACGTGATGCTGCTTTCAACCAATCGAGTTGACTGAATTTTTTTTTATTAATAAGTGACAATACCACATTGTTGTATTATCGCTGTAGGCACAGAAAACTCATGACAGGAAAGCGAAACAAATTTCTTTCGATACAAACCATTACCTGTCAATTATAATCGTCTTACTTTTGTCATTATACTCATTTGACAGTCACTTAATAATAAATAAAAAGAATGTATCCACCTGTGTGTGCTATATTAAAATAACAAACTAATGTATGAGTTTACAGAACATTATGTAATATAGTGACAATAACAAAGAAAAAAATATATTTTTCCAATGTAGGGTGGGGATGTATCAATCAGTATACAAAATATCCTTAAATAAATCTAAGTTAACAGTAACATATTGTTTAGCTTGAGTCCAAATATACATTTTGTGGAAAATTTTGAAATCTTCCTTGTTGTAAGAGATTAAAAAAAAATTATTAACAAAATTTACAGGGTGGCTTGAGGGCCACATTTTAAATTTACATGAAGGTATACAGGGTGTTGCATGACTCAGTTACAAACCAAACATGTTTTTTTCAACAGGAATATCAGTTTATTAATTTAGATTTAGATTACTCACATTTTTTCCATTCTTCTAATATATGGTTTGTCTAGATTATATAGGCTACTCTAAAAGGAATTGACATTTTGTATGAAAATTATAAGTAAATCAACGCCCTGTAGCCAATTACATACTGTGGAAAAAAATGGTACATGTATTTTTTATTATCATTTATTACACTTTTCTTTAGTTTTTATAATATGCTTATTAGTATACAGGGTGACTCAAGACTCAGACCCTTGATTTGCATGTTTTATTAAAATGGTATAGCTCATTAAAAAATGTTGGAGCAACTGTGGTTACAAATCGTTTACTGGTGTCACGTTGACATGGTGTCATCAAGCTTGTTTTGTGGCAATGTGAACCAAAGGTTCTTAAAAGTGATTTCTATACATGAAAATACAATAAGTAGAGTGTTCTTATGGTTAGGATTTCTTCATTGTACAGGAAAGCTGTTGGGTAAAGTGATGGTTTTTTTTGTAGATAATTTTGACAATGCGATTTTGTATAGCTCTGAAAAACTGTTAGTTTGTATCATATAAACCCCCTCCCCCCAAACAATTATCCCATATCGAAGGATCGCCTCTACTAGTGATTTATAAATAATTATTGGCTGTTTGCGGTTCATAAACTTTCACATTTTATAAAATTTGTATATAAATCTTCATAATTTGCTTATAAGAGATTGTATTTGTTCATTCCATTTGAGATTGTGATCAATTATGTGATTCCCTAAATATTTTGTTTTTCAGACATATTTATTTTAAAGTTGTTTATGTCGGTCGATTAACATTTGTTATTGAAAATGCTATATACATAGTTTTGCTAACATTTAAGGAAATCACTGTTTCATTAACATGCGTCTTCAATAAAGAGTTTATATATACAGTATGTCCCCCTAGGTTGGAATCATATGGAAATTTTTTTATTATTAATTTTAGGAAAAAAGTTATTCTTCATAAAAAGTTCTGCATTATCTAAAACCTAGAATACAGTAATTAAATATCAAATTTTTCCAGTGGTATACGAGGTTTGTCAAAAAATATGAATTTTGCTCAAGAGTGAAGTACCTTTATTCTTTATACGACTGATAAAATTTGATATCTGATGGTTGTATTTTAACATATTAGAAATTAATTGTTTGTTTATCATATTTTTGTATTTTAACATATTAGAAATTAATTGTTTATCATATTTTTTAAACATTTTTGTAATTTGTAGTCTGTTAATCTTAAATAATAGTTTTTTTTTAAACATTCCTTCAATCATTCTAATACTTTTAAAAGTCTGGAAAATAGAAATATACCTAATGGAGATCTTAGTAAGAGTAATTTTATAAATTTTCTACCTCTGGTTCCGTCTCGTAATTATAGCATTTGTCCGCTAAAGCTGAGGCAAATATTACAGAAACTAACACCAATCTAATAAAAAAACGCGTTTTTAAACTGGTATAGCTGAAAGAAAAATATTCCGTATTTTTTAAAGTGGTGTCTGAAAGAAATCATAATTAAAAATGCAAACGTCATAAAAAAGCTGGAACCATATGGTGAAACTGGTTGGGGTATTTATTTACGATACCCATTAGAGAGAAACGATTTAAAAGAATAGGAAAGTGTAAAATTGTAAAAGAAAAGTGAAGAAGAAGTGAAAAATAACCAAGATTTGCTGTTTATATTGGAAAAAATCAAATGAAAATATTTAAAGAAAAGATTTAAATAATTTTACTTCCTGAGGTGTATTAAACGAGTCTTCAGTAGTACCCGAATTCCACGTAATCTGGTAAAACAAAAAAAATTAATAAAAATGGCCGTTCTTAGGAGTTTTATGGCAACGAAGTTTCAGTTCTGTCAAATATGTTAGTGACATTATTTTAAGGTTACTACAGAAGTTATTAATGTTAGTTTTAGCTAACTGATGACATCAATTTAGTCACTTGGGATACAACTATTGTTGAAAACTCTGTACTTCTTAAATTACTACAAGGTAAACAAATAAAAATAAAAACAATCAAGTTACGACATAATATTCTAAATAATAAACAAAAATAAATAGAATTTATAACATTTAAAAAACACACTGTCACTTTCGTATATAAAAATACAGATAATACTAAATACTCTACTTTATCGTATACTCTTTATGGTCTTTAATTTGTCTATTGCAGATTGCAAATCAATATTAGATGCATAGTCCCTTTCAATATTCAGTAATGCTAGGTTTGTCAACTGTCCTCAGACATTAAGTTTTAATATTTCTTAGTCTATTAAAAGATCTTTCGCCTGTTGCAGTGTTTGTAGCAATTATTAAAAAAATTTGGTATATTTTGCTTAAGTAAGGAAAAACTGATTCCAATTTTTTTGGAAATGAAAAAAGGGTATATTTCTTCAGTTTTTAACTTTTATTTATTTCAGTTAATAAACTACAAAACTATTTTCGGTTGGATAGAAGATTTATAAAAAATGCATAAAAAGTACAAAGATTTTTTATTTTCTTCAGAAACAGCAATTTTTTCCGCTTCTAAGTATGAACATTTGTTTGCGATCAGAAAAAGTCATCAAATATCTGTGTTAGTATTTGAATAAATGTACCCAGTACAATTTTAAAATTTTACCTAGGGCAATTTACAGTGTGTCCAGAGATGTTTTCATCTTGAAAAAGTTTGACCTTTTTTGATCTTTTTCTTATTAACTTATTGGGAAAGTCAGACTTACTTGAAATTTCCTTATCCTTTTCATCAAAGCTGTTAGACATTTATGTTTGATTTAATTAAGGAAACTGCTGCTGATATATTTATATCGACTTTTTGTAAATAATTAGATGGAATTTGAATAACTAAAAGTATTTGTTTCCAAAAGCAAAGATAAGGTATACAAATTCAAAATATTTTATATATGTTAAAAATCCACGAGCATCAATATTTGACTCGCATTTGTACTTGAAATTTCACCTGATGAGATTCTTTCCATAACCTCTATTACAGCGGGGAGGTTTTCAAATATGGAATTAACAGGTCTGGTGTGACTTGCATAACGAGTCGTTGACAGTTTTTAGACTTAATTTTTTTGTCATAAAATTCTTGAATGGCTTGAATAGGCAGATGTAAACAAAACATATTTTTTGGCGTCGGTAACACAATAAACACTTTCCGACCCGACTCAAACTTTTGAAGTAACCATTCGTTATAATTTAAGACCTCATAAAATAAAAATAGTTCTTTTACTTTAACTTTGGACTAAATAAATGAAACTTTTTAGTTTAAAATAATATTTGAAGCATTTCAAACAAATACAGTGTTTGTTTATTAAAAATATGTTACCAAATATTTTTCAATTTCAATAAATGTAAAGGGTGTAAGAAAAGTAATGGGCAGGCGCCCCCCTGGCCCCCACCTAGCTACGCTACTTTTAGGTTGTACAATATAACTGGAAAAAGCCTGTAATAACTAGACAGGAAAGTCATATATTGGACACATCAGATTTTTTGTGTAATTTTTTATTCGCCAATTATTGACTAATATGATAAGTAGAAACATTGTTGATTCCGCTGATTAAATGAAGGAATTAACAGATTAAGTTTCACTTAAAGATTGTATATTAATAAGAAGACAATTTTTAAATATTTTTGGTATCAAATAAAATAAAAAATTGTCCATAGCACCATACTATTTTTACTTTTATTTTATTTGGTGTAACATGTTTTTTTTTTCAGGATATATTTTCACAAGATTTTTGTATTTTAATAGGTACTTAATTTTAAAATGAGGTAGATAATAACATTTTTTTTAAATCCAAAATATATTGGATAACATTTTTACACAATTTAATAATAATTTTCGTGGTTTTTGAGAGGTATGTGTAGTTAGAAGATAAATAGTTGAAATTGGTAAACATTCCCTAACAATAGAGCAACTCCTGTGATATTAATGTCTTATGTTTTTTTATGATAAGATTATCAATTTGTTCTAACATTGTCTAAAAGCCATCGATTACTACAAATAATTGAATAATTTTACTATATGATTTACAATATTAAGGAAGTGTTACTTGTTGAACATAATTCTTTGATTTATTGACTCTTTTTAAGAGAAAATATTTCCCAATGGTTCAAAACCTCTTTACTAATATTATATTTATCAGTCTTATAAATCAAATCTTTTAAAACTATTTATAATAATAACTTCTTAAACAATATTTATATAATCCGAACAAACTAAGGAACTGATTTCAGTTATCCTTATTATTATTCTATAACTAATTCGTTAAAAATCTTTTTAAGACCACAAAAAGTAACTTCCTTTAAATAACCAACAAATAAATACTCACTTCTTAATTTCTTCCTTTGTTTTACCTACTTAGTTATCTCTTCGTCTTTCTCATCAGATTTAGCTTCAACTTTTGGAACCACTACAGCTTTAACAATTTGCATTTGTGGAGCATAAGGTACTCTATAATTATTAGAAGATTGAGGAACAACTTGCGGCACGTAATTGTAATTATTATAGGGATTGTATCCCCAATTTTGCCTTATATTTTCTTCATATGGATATGGAACCATAAATTTAAGTTGTTGTCCGTAAAGCAAGTCATCAGGTTTTGGAGGTGTGGTAGTGGGTACTTCTGTTGTTGTGGATGGGGAATCCCCGCCGCTACCATAAAATGGTATTAAATGGCTTAAACCATAACTAAAACTACTCTCTTCTGTTGTTGTGGTCGTTTGTTCTGTTGTAGTTTCAGTTGGTTTCACAGGAGCTACATTTGGATAGAAAGGTGAGTAGTAATTACTTGTTGGAGGAATATACAAATTAGGATTGTAATAATAATTGTAAAAAGGGTTATATCCGTAATTGTAATTTCCCTGTTGTGGCTCGTCTCTTCCTATATTTTCGTTTTTGTCTGGGTATTCAACTGCTGTAGGAAGACTTTTATGCCAGTAGTATACTGTTCTTCCATTACTTAAAATTGTTTTTTGTAAGATTACTGGTTCAAGACGAATGTATCTTATAGCTGAAGCAGCTGGTATTGATATTCTATTATTACCAGGAGGCACTGTCACATAAAAACTACTGGGTCTTGTAACAGGGGCATATGTAGGTCTAACAGTGGGTTTTTGTGTTGTGACATAAACCGGTCTGTAGTCATCTTGGTACTGTTCATAAGTTGTTGGTTTACTCGGTGGTTTGTTTAGGTTAAGTAGTTTTGTGAGATGCATACATTTTTGTCTCAGATGTTCTATGTTTAAATGAGTAATTTCAGATTCTGCTTCTTTTTTTGTAACAACTGGGTAATCGAATCCGGTTCCATCGTCGTCTAGTATTTGTTTACCTTCTACATTTGGAGCTTCTTCAATTTGTATTTCTTCACTTTTGTTATTTACTTTAATATGTTCGATGTTATGTGATTCGATGGGCCCCGTAGAGGAATGGGAGGCAGGCGGCAATGCGGTTGATGTTTTTACATACAACGTCAAAATCTGAAATGAATAAATAAAAAATCAATTTTTTATTCAAAATAACAGCTCATGCACTCTTTAATAATAACCAATAGGTGGTGTGAATAAAACCAAGTATTTGGTAAAACTAGACTATTTATAAGCAAATACTAGATTTGGACCGAATAAACTTAGTTAGCATGTGCTAGGGCTAGATAGTTCTAGATTTTTCCTCATGTTTAGCTTTTGCTTAAGTATTGATGTGAATAAAAACTTCAGCTGGTTTTGTTCTATAGCTTTTGTTAAGAGATCTGTGTGGTCGGGAGCACACTTCACTTTGTCTAGATTTTTCTACGATAACAGTTTCAAATTAGTGGTTTGTTTTCAGAAATGGCGGAATTTATGCCCATCCGTAAACGTAAAATTTACAGTGTTCGTAGGGAAATCGGACAGCGCAACTATAAGAACTCTTCAGATTTGAAAGCCGGAGTAAAGATTTTTTAGCGGCTGAATTCCTTCTCGAAACCGATACACGTGGTGGTATTTCTCGAAGGCAACAAATGGAAATATTTTTGAGGTTTGTGAGTGACCCTGGTTCTAGGCGTCCACCGTACAACCGCCAACAAGGCTATAAAGCATGTTATGAATCGTATAGTTGATCAATCAGTCAATTGGATCCGTTTCCCAGCTACGGCAGCTGAAATGAACGAGGCAAAGGTTTTGTGGCTCCTATAAACTGTGTACCCCTCTATCAACTGTGTGCACCTATCAACTGTGATAGGTGCACTTGATTACCCTCATGTTGAAATACTTAAATCAGGAGTGGTTCGACATTGAGATGAATATATTTGTCGGAAGGGTTATGCCAGTATTAATGTACAGGCTACATGTAATGCCCTGGAACAGTTTACAAGTATAAGTGCCGACTGGCCCGGCAGTGTTCATGACGGAAGAGCGTGGAAAACGAGCCCCATCAGGGATATCATGTCCCGTTATGATGGAACTGTATGTCTTTTAGGGGATTCAGAGGATTAATCCTTGATTAATAACACCCTACAAGCCTCCTCGTAACCGTCAACAAAGGCGCTTCAACCTAATACATTCCAGGGAGAGGGTGATAATAGAAAGATGTTTTGGTCAGTTAAAGAAGAGATTTCCTATTTTTGGAAACTGTGTTCGAATTGCTTTGAACAACGTATTAAAAGTAATAATAGCATCTGACCGATGACTTCGACTATGGGGAAATATTAATCCTGATAAAGAAAACAACGAAATGGTTGAGATTCACTACGAAAATGCTAACACAACCAGGAGAGGCAAAGACGAATGCGCTGTTATGATGCAATTACTCAATATACCATAAACAATCAACATAAAGAGTTTCGACATGAAAGTTTTGAGTATGTTTTGTAAACTTTGTGCTATTCCTTTATGAAGTGGATTAAATAAACTTTAAATCGTTCATATATGTGGCTTTATATAAAATACCTAATGTTGTATGTATTATTTGTGTAAAATTAACAGTTAAACTTTTAGACACATTATATACACATACAGTGTAGAAAGGCCAAATGGAATACATTCATTTTTATATAAACAAAAAATCGAAAATATTTTGTGGGTTTTCATTTTTTATTTATTTTGAAGTAGGTATACAATAGGTATAAAAACTTAAGTATAGATTTCAAAATTTTTTAACAAACAAAACTATTTTTAGTCTTCAGTCAATACCAGAAAAAAAAACAAAATGAAATCAAAGAAGTCCACGTTTACAAATCTTGAATAAAATACAAGTCATCCGATCCTAAAACAGTTTGAGTTGACTTTTCCAAACATTCGTTCTTTTGTTTTCGAGAGAGCATTTTCTCTCTCTCTCTCTCTCTCCAGTCTTTTTTTGATAATTTAGAATTGCTGTAACAATACAACTCGTAGTTGTGTGTTGGACAAGTCCATAATTTTTTGACTTTCGTAATATGCTACCATCTTTGTGCTTTTCCTTATTTTCTGTTTCATGCGATCAGCACCTTTGTGTATGATTTACTTGTAGAGACATTCGTATCCATTTCTAGATTTTCCTGCAGTGGATAGGCCAGTGCCAACCGAAATATTTCCTGAGATGTTGTGATATACTGGATTGTCTTGGTCTATTAGTTGTAGGAACTCATCCCATTTTTTCAATTTAATGGGCTTATTTCCGGTAGCTTTTATATCTGTCTTCTTTTTTATGGTAGTTTTTACGTTCTGCAATACTTTCTTTAGTTGTATTACAGTGAACATTTTCCCGATTGAAGAAAAATACTCAGCACTGAGAGTAGACCATGCTTCTGTCTTAAATTTCATCACGTGTTTTTGATTTATTCAGTAATATAATGTGGTCTTTCAACAATCTTACAAACAATGAGCGATCGATCTTTTTGTCGTCTTTCTCGTCGTTACTATCACGGTCGTCCTTTGAGGATGCCATCACAGAAAAAGTGATAATAGTGATATGACAGTATCGATATAGGTAGATACAACTGTAACACTGACCAACAAAACAAATATTTCACTGACCTGTCGTGACAGAAGCCGAGTGCATGAAATCATAAAGCACAGGGATTAGTGGAAGGGAGTCTGTCGTGACGTGAACCTAGTAAGTGCTTATAGGTTAGCATATGCTACCCGTAGCTTTTACTTACACTTTTCCGTATAGCACTAACTTTGGTATAGTGTTTTCCCGGATTTTAAGATTTTTTTATTCACTTCGATAATAAGCAAACACTTAACTGCCTGGTATATGCTGTTAGCAAATGCTTGCTTTTATTCACACCACCCAATAATATCTCACGTAACCAAATTGATGTCACTTTAGTAGTAACCCCAAAACATTACCACTTGTCATAGAAGTTACCACAAAAGCCAATTTCCATACAATCTCTTGTTTTACCAGATCCCGTGGGCTACGGGTGAAAACTGTATAATCAATTGCTGATTTCCCTTGACGACATTATTATAAAGTACAGAAGGTGATATAGAGTTTAACTCGTAGTTGGAAGCTATTGTTACAGTAATTATCTATATATATATTTTTTTTTTTTTTTTCGCTAAAATACGTCCCCTTTTCATTTTTAATTATACCGGTTTTCAATGAAATCCACGCAGTTTAGTCATTATGAGTTATCTCGTAGTTGGCAGTCAACGATTTAGTGGCGTTTGGTTTCTCATATTAAGTTAGGCGCGTCGCTTCAAAGATTTTCTAAATTAATTAAGGGAACTGCTAAGAAAAAATCGTATAAACGAAATATAATGTAATAGTATATATTTCATTACGAATCCAGAAAATACGATTTTCCCATGCGAGCGTGACAGTCATGCAAGCACAAGAAAAGCATTTATGAACGTGTAATGAACGATACTTTTCATTATACCTCTCTGAAAACAAAACAAGGCAAAAAATATAAGGCGAATATCATCACTTACTGTGTTAATATATTTTTACTGACGCCACTTGCAAAATAGATGATACTCTCTCGGGACTTTTTGAGCAGTAATTCTGCACTAATTTTTGCTCTTTCAAGTGATATTTTTTCTTCTGGAGAAATCATTTTTATAACTATTTATGAAACCAGTTGCGAAATGCCTTATTTTATGTAACGCAACATAAACGAGTTGATGAACAATTAAAATGCGAATTTGACAGAAAACGAATGTCAGTAATCAACTTTGACATGGGCTATTTTAAGTTTTTAAACAAGCAGAGGTAATATTAATAAAAATTCCATATAGATCAAACTTTATGGCAAACACTGCAAATGTGTTGCAGTTTTTGACCTCTCAATTAAAAGTATCTATGGGTACAAAGTTCTGCTATGACTAGTTTTTGAAATACAGGTTGAATTCTCATAATTTTCAAAAATATTTTTTTTTTAATTTTAACATATAAAGTGACATTTTTTGTAATCGCAGAAAGTGTCAAAATGTTCTACGCAACCAGATGAATAATGTTGAAAAATTCATTACGTCACCAGTTGCGAAAAGAAAAGAAATAAAAATAAACTTTTTTTGGTTTTAAAATCAATATACATTATTATTATTGAAAGTTTATCTAAAAATAGAATGTGATTAAACTTACAACCTAGTAATAATTTTGTTGGTCCTTATTATCCAGTCCAAATCAGCTTTTTTGAAAAATAAATAACTTTAATAAACAATATAAACACCCTGCAAATCGTTGAGAATAAATAATTAATAATGATGTTCTAATCGTGGCTCTAATTGTCAATAGAATGATGCATATTATGCATCTAACAATACAAGAAAGTAATATTAGTTGCCTAACTGTCAGTAACCTTTAACCAAAACACAATTTTATTCAAAATAGAAAAAATATTGTAAGTAACACGTTACGAAATGCCGTTTTATGTAACTCGTTCATGTTGCGGGACCTCGCTCTGCTCGTCTCGCATATATTCACCCGTTACATAAAATAAGGCATTTCGCAACTGGTTTCATAAATAGCTATTTTAAAATTATTTATACTTTGATTAAAATATTAGCATGGATGAAGATGCGGTTTATTTTCATTGATTTTAATTATTTAATAGCTATTTATGAAACCACTTACGAAATGCCTTATTTCATGCAATGACTGAATATTTGCGGGACGAGCAGATCGAGGTCCCGCAACATGAACCAGTTACATAAAACGTCATTTCGTAACGTGTTACATACAATATTTTATCTAATTTAGACTACATTATTTATAAAATTTGATTTGATAAAAAATTACTGACGTCTATACAACCAATATTACTACTTTCTTGTATTGTTAGTTGCAAATGATTAACATAATTCTTTTATTGACAAATTATATATTTAATTATTTATTCTCAACGATTTGTTTAGTGAGTTTATAGTGCTTGTTAAGGTTATTTAGATTTAAAAAAAGTGGGTTATTTTGTCGTGTATTGTGTTTTAATTATTTTGTGCTGATTTAGAATGGAAAATAAGGACCAAAACAACATTATTACTAGGTTGTAGGTTTACCAAAATTATATTGATATAAATCTGCCTTTCTCTGATATAAACTTTCAATATTATTGATTTTAAAACCAAAAAAGGTTTATTTTTATTTGTTTTCTTTTTGCAACTGGTGACATAATGAATTTTTCGAAACCAGTTCCATAATGTTTAACATTATGCAACTGGTTGCGTAAAGAAGATCATCTTGACACTTGCGATTACAAAAAATGCCACTTTTATATGTCAAAATTAGAAAAAAAGTTTTATTCCAACGTTGTATTAATTTGTCCCGTGAGTATAATTACATGGCTTTACAAAAATGCATTAAATATTTTTAATAGGCCAGGCTGTATCTTTAAACACAATTTTTCCGTGCTTTTTTTAATTAAAAAAAACTACCATATAAGTTTAATATGTAACCCTTTTTTTTCCAAAAATAAAATGAATTACATTGTGTAAGGAAATTCTAGACAAGCACTGAATTCTAACTACACAATCTTCCCGAAATTAAGAACATTTCTTATTTTATTTTACCCTCGAAACAAGAGTACCCGCGTGGTGTCTGACTGTGAAACGCCATTCAATTAAGTTATAAAAATGGAATGAAAATATTTGCTAAAGGTTTTATTTAAATAATTTATATATTATTGATATAGTGTGGAACAGCCAAATGGAATAAATTCGGTAATAAATAAATGAGGGCATGTTCGGAAAAACGCTCGGACATATCGATTGGTATTTTTAGTTGCGCATTTTTTTTAACAAAAACTTTTTATACTGGGTGTGTCATGTAACAGCGGCCAATACCAACTTTCTTATTTTAAATGCAACACCCTGTATATTTTTCAATTTTTGTGTGTCCCATAAAGTTGGATCCATATGGGATTTTGTTTTAATATTACGATTGGAGACAAACGTCGTAGGACAATCCCTCTGCTTATTTAAAAGCTTAAAATAACCCATATCAAGGTTGACTACTGACATTAGTTTTCTGTAAAATTCGCATTTAAAAAAAAATTGTTTCAAAGATTTTTCAGAAAAAAATACCAAATTTGACAGAACTAATGCAATATCTTGCCAACTTTAATATGCATGGACTATTTTGGTTTTTAAAAAAGCAGAGGTAAATGCAATACGTTTTTTTTTTCATTCGTAATATTAAAAAAACGTCCATATGGATCCAACTTTATGGAACACACTGTATAAGCAAGTTAGCTTAAATCGGCAGAAAAATATTTATTTAATTAAAACCATTTTTGTTTGTTTCGTACTGCAACCGTCAACTTGGTTCGTGCTTAAACAAAATGCAGGATTTTTGTGTATACAAGGTCGCCCAACGAAAATTTGACATGGGGATTTTGAGTATTAATATCGTGGATGTTAAGAAAACTCTCGGACAGGTCGATTTTAGTTTGAAGGGTGACATCTTTTTATCATATCATCAACTGTCATACGTCATTCCCCTCCACTCCGTTTTTATCACCAATGCAATTTAAATAGGGAAAGTGCCAAGTATGACATACCATTGAAAAGGTAATATTAAGGTGAATTCAGCAGCATGACTATTCATTGCGTTACTTTTGATTTTAGTGTCCTCTAGCGGGATAAAAAACTTTTACCTATTGTAAAGTATGGTACTTCATTTCAAAGCTGATTTTATTATTAATTTAATACGTAGCATAAATTTTTTATTGCAATAAATATTGTATTTGAACTCTGCAATTATTTAAGTTCTTGTTTCATTTAATTATGTTTTGTTATGTTGTGCATTAAGTTAAATTTAGCTTTCAAATGAAGTGCCACACTTTACAATGGGTAACAGCTTTTTATCCCGCTAGAGGGCGCAAAAATCAAAAGTAACGCAATGAATAGTTATATTGCTAAATTCTCCTTAATATTACCTTTTTAATGATGTGTCATACTTGGCAATTTGCCTATTTAAATTGCATTGATTAGAGTAATGAAGTGGAAGGGAATGACGTATGACAGTCGATGATATGATAAAAAGATGTTCCCTGTCAAACTAAAATCGACCTATCCAAGCGATTTTTACCATCCACAATATTAATACGCAAAACCCCCTGTCAAGTTTTCGTTGGGCCACCTTATATGTTTTATTTTTCATTTGTTTTATTTTAATATTATCATTTAACGATTTTACTTGTTAAATATTATAGGTTTGTTCCAACTTGATACAAAACCATTCAGTAACGGTACAGCGCATGCGTATTACACTCAAAGCGTTCCAACAAGGGGGTTATGATTGACAACCTCTGTTATTTTTAACAGGTCTGTTATTTTATAAACACATAGAAATTACAACCTGTTCACAAATAACGTGTCTGTTAAAAGTAACATTATTTGTCCATCATAACCCCTTTAATTTGTACGATGTGCGGGTTGATACAGAATTGGTTCCAACTAAAAAAATGGATGATTCCGGAATCGTTTCTGTAACGTAAT